GGCCCCTCTGTCAATTCGCATTGCTTTCTAAGTTGTATAGAAATACGTACTGTTGTTTATCTAAAATGTAATGCAATGCATGTGGCAGAACATTAATAAACGGCACTTGAAAGTGCTTAATTGATCACTGATGACGATTAGCTCCATCACAGTATGACACGAGGCTGTTGGGTTATGAACATGTCACTCATATGTATTCATAACAAAGCATTGAAGAACAAAATAAGTTGGAAAGAAAAATGGCCCATTTGCGAAGCGAAGATGACTTGCAATCGCGTTTAAGGCTGAGCGAAGAAAAAAATCAAATCAGTACTCTATGCAGTCGTAGAGGGGCGCTGGTAAGCAACACTTCAAATCGTGTTTGTTTGCTGATTTTGCAGTAGGAGTGGAGTAAGCGATAAGTATAACATAAAAAGGAGAAATAACAGGGCAACGTGGAAAAAACCTGCGCGTGCACGGAACATTAGGAACATACTGTAAGTAGTACAACGAGACACTCGGCTCAAATGGTACATCATTATAATTTATGGTAGAAAAACATGTCCGTCAAACGTGTTTTCATATGCGAGAGACGGAACTTATGTTGTCGCTAGCTTTTATTTAGCTTTAGCACATCACGAATACAATTATGTCGTGGTGTAGTTATTATGTTTATCTAAAATTTAATGCAATGTATGTGGCAGAACATTAATAAACGGCACTTGAAAGTGCTTAATTGATCACCGATGGCGATTAGCTCCCTCACAGTATGACACGATGGCCTATCCAAGCACAAGGTATATCAAATTTAATGTGACTGATTCATGAAGTATGGAACCCTGTTGCCAGGAATTAGGTGGAAATGCCATTAAGGAAGCCCAAAATGTAATTTGCGTTTCATAAAACGTACACAAAACGCTAGAAGCTGCCTCAATATCGATCGGTTTGAATTCTCCTTTTTATTTCTAAAGTATGCTAATATACTGAGTTTGTGAGTATGTTTCCCTTATTTGTAGTTCTTACTTGCGCAAAAATGAATGATAACTATAGCTATAAACCTTTCTCTGCATGTCAAGCGAGATATGGTGCGATAATTAAACAAGTAAATACAATGACGACACTTCAAACGTATCTTAACTGGTAAAAGTGGTATCTTCACAACATGAAAAGTACACTAACTGGGGGAAAAGGTCTATCCTTTGATTGTAAGGTTGTGTGCAAAGTATTCATACTACGGAGCAGATAAGATGTTCCCTGGACCTTACTCCAAGAAAGTTAGTCGCTTTATATTGAACAATAACTCCAAAATGAACTAAAAGGAAAGACCACAGGCAAGTGATCAATTCACCGACAACTAATGAGATGAAACTATGTATAATTGTGTGTAGACAGTACCTGTAGAACTTGCAGTAACAATGCCAACTGTTACCTACCTTAGACGCTGTGATTCTCTTCACGACCAAACGAATTCTGAGCCAAATAATGGTTATAAAACACGCACTTTCTGCGAGCCGGATATTATAAACGTGGCACTTTATATGATAGGATGATGCAAGATGACTTCATCTTTGTTTTTGTTTTTCTGACGTAGATGTATCCCTTGGAAGCATGCGCAAACCATACCAAGATATAGTAGACCCTTCTGTCAATTTTCATTGCTTTCTACGTTGCAGAAAAATACTAAACCGTTTTTATCGCAAATGTAATGCAATGTATCTGACAGAACATTAATGAAAGTTTATTGCAAATACATGCCTGAGGGCTAATTGCAGTTACAAACAACATAAGAAAACGGCACTTGAAAGTGCTTAATTGTCACCGATGACGATTAGGCCACACTGTCTTAATTTTATGGATGACATCCCCAAAACTAGTGCGTGCGGGCGAATAAAACAAGATCCGGTCAGAAAAAATGCTGCTAAATCACAAGAATACATATTGCGTGAATCGAACATTACATGGTGCTGTACAATGTCTGTGGTGTAAATCGTGGAGTAAGTTTTCTCTGGCGTGATTTTAATATAATGTTGTTTGTGTTGGTTAGAAGGTGTGTTGCGCGCGGCTGCCTGTGTCATTATTGATTTGACATTTGCTCCAAGTTTTTGATGTATGTTTAACGTTTACAATGATATCATCTCTTACCTGTCCGTCAAACGTGTTTTCAGTTATCATTACAGACGGAACTTATGTTGTTGGTGGCTTATATTTAGCACATCAGTGCAACCATTTGTTGTGGCTGTAGATATGCTGACTCCATTTTATGGCTATTCAAACACGAAATATTAAATTTGATGTGACTAATTCAGTTACGGAGCCAAGTTGGAAAATCTTGTGGATTTTGTCAGTAGCTTTCTTCTGTCGACCTTTGGGTCTAACTTGCAATGTAACAAGACAACATTTTCTGCACTACGACAGTGTTTTCATACGTGTTAACAGGATTCTAGTGACGCACGACGTTATTAATTGTTTGTGTCCAACAAGAATAAAAATTGCCCTGTCTTGCTCCGTAATTTTCAACCTTATCTACTTTTTTCTTATGCTTACAAAATCGTGACTATTATAAATATATTTATGACAGCAACCTCTTCATAGATGCAAGAAATGTTTACAAAAAAAGGAGAAAACTTTGCTGTCAAAACGGAGGCGATACCATTATGGGTTGCTTACTGGGGAAATATGGCCGCAGTATCTCGCCTTGTGTGTTTCATAGACTTCGGTAGATGGCGTTGGCGTTCAGATATTCTAGTCGGGTTACCAAAACTATTTTATCTTTCGAGTCCTATGTGCAATTTGCGGAGAGGATATAGGACTCGGAAGCTAAAATAGGTTTGGTAACCAGGCTGCAGATATTCCGCGATGGCACATACCGTTTACTACACGTGGTTTTACGTTTGCAGCCCGACTTAACACTTTTTTGCGACTGAAACATCACTTCAGACAAGATTGAGACAAACCCAAGATAAATTTAAGTCAAAGTGTACTATCAAACATGTGAGACCTTACAATACCAACTTGGGGACACATACATCCTCAGATATAAAATGCAGTGCTAGTAACGTGTCAGTGTTTTTTATTAGCTGTGAAAACTTATTCAAATCCTGAAGGTTAATCCGATTCTAAATATGTTTAATGTTGTTCTAAAACAGTTTTAAATATGGATGAAAAATTCCAACAGGTGAAAAAGCAGGCAAATACCAACCTAAACGGAAGGGACGTCTTTTAAGTTGGACTCCTTCTTTTAATTTACCATTTCATCCAAAAATGTTAAACCTTAATTTTGCTTAAATGTAACAACAGAACATTAGAACCCAAAAATTGAAACGATCTTAAACTTTTAGCCAGATGAATTTGTTGCTCTTGCGCCAGTAAATTCCCTCCAAAATGGTTTGTTCCAGTTAACTGCAAGTAAGTAGACAGCAGATTGGCCAACAGATACAGAAGTGCTGTTTCTTCAGACCACGTGTGGACACTAGTAAGTCCCCTACGACTATCTTCAAGGCTGTGGTACGTTGTCTAGGATATTTACCTCAAGTTTTCCTTTTTACTTTTGACTTGAATTTTTATCGGAATTTTACCTGATTTTACCGGAAGTTTTACCTGAATTTACACATGAATGTACCTGAATTTTTACCTGAATTGCAGAGATCCCAACAATGAACCAGAATTTGTAGCTAATATGTTCATCTTCTCTTAGAATTCACTAGATCTTGCAATCGGTACTGATGAGAGGGTACAGGAAGTGAGGGAGACAGTTTTGTTGGGTCTACACATGGATAGGTCTCTCACATGGAACTCACATGTTACTCACATTGCGTTAAGACAATCAAGAAACATTGCCCTATTGAGAAGGCATATGTGGGCGATGCCTTTTGCAGTTTGCAAGGTTGTTGTTTGTGCACTGGTCCTGTCAGTTGTGCAGTACTGCGCACCTGTCTTAGCTAACATGTCAGACTCCAACATGCGCAAACTGCAAGTAGTGCAGAATAGGGCATGTAGACTGTTACTGAAATGTACTCCTGATACTCCTACCAGGCAGATGCATCTAGATCTTGGTTGGCCGACTGTGAGAGAGAGATTCTTGAAAAGCACTTTGGTCATGTTCTTTAAGATCCTCACGAGTCACGAACCACAAAATATTTACAACTCCCTTTTGCCTGTTCATGCATCTCACAGTCATAATACCAGATCTTCCGCACATAACTTTAGATTACCAATACCTAAGTCCAACAGCAGAAAACGCTCATTCCTGTACCGTGCAGTCGTGCTCTGGAACGATCTACCATCTGACGTTAAGACACTGTGCGATGTTATCAGTTTTAAGAAAGCCGTTTCAAACAGTAGTAGTGTCACCTGATCCTTGACCCTTGCTCGCCACTTTTAAATTGTTTATATCTATGTGTATTTATTGTTAATGTAGTGTACATGTATGTATGTATGTATTTTTAAATGTTTCCACTATGTTGTAATTGCTATAATGTTTGAGCCTTGGAAGATTAGCCCTTCGGGGCTAAAAGGTTTCGAAATAAATGAAATAAATAAATGAGATGTATATCGGTACGCGGTCAATGTTGTTCTTGAACTGAAGCCATTTATCGTATCCGTGCCTGTCCAGTTCTGTACCTGAATGGGTTAGGGCTAGGATCAGGCACGGCTCTAGCTGGATAGTATCCGCGAGTATCCAAGAACGTACCTTTGACACAGGCATGGTTCTGGATACGCGTGGATTATCCAGAACCATGCCTGAGCATGATTTTGGATATTCCCCAAGCAGAGGTTTGGTGGGGAATATTGTGACCTGCGGTCTAAGGCCCGGAGTCGGTCGGCGCGTTCACACTTTGATAATCTTTTCTCGACCCACTTAATGAATGAAAAGGAAAAGACTACCTTTTCTGGACCTTACTCAACACACCCCACATGAAGTTCCTTTTTTCTGCCTAAATGCTTAGGGAGTATCGTTGTTATTAATACTTGTTGAAGAATGAGCATTCAAAGTGTTATGACTTATGTGAACAGGTGCCTGCATGCAGCAAACATGTCCGGACGCGGTAAAGGCGGAAAGCTGCGTTCCAAGGCGCGGAGTCGGTCGGCGAGGGCCGGTCTACAGTTCCCGGTGGGTCGCGTGCACCGCTTCCTGAGGAAAGGCCGGTACGCCGAGAGGATCGGGGCGGGCGCTCCCGTGTACCTGGCGGCCGTGCTGGAGTACCTTACCGCAGAGGTGAGACACACTCTTCTTTCATTTAAGTCTTCTTTCATTTAAGGCATACCCCTTCATCTAATTGAAGATTCTCTTGCCTTTCGTGGTTGCTTAGCTGTGAAAGGTTGTCGCTAGCCTCCACCAGGCCTTCCTAAGGGTTTAGGATAGTTAACGCGGCAAAAATTGGGTCTCACTGGAGAGGTAAGAAACACTGTTGAAGTGTCTTGTCTTATATCAAATTGGCAAGGCAGTGTCATATTTGAGAAAAAAATATACTATGATATCAGTACAACAATCGTCCATGAATGTGCAGCTTGCTAAAAAATCAGGGCAATAAATAATTCACGTAGCAGATGTTAGCAATTAATTGAGTGCCTGACCTCTAAACTCGACGAAACACTTGTCGATACATTTTAACATGACGAATTTTACTTTAATTGGACTGCTGTATCAAATGTATGTATTTATGAAACGCTTCGCCTGTACGTTTTAACATGTCAAGCGCAGTACTGCATAAAAACTTAAGTTTTAATCTCGTACGCTAGTTGTGTCCAATATCATATGCCGTCGTGGCACTTTAAACTTCTGTGACTAAGTTGAATGAAATTAAGTGAAATCCCGACTTCAAAGTTCAACAAATACATCTTGAATGTTTTCAGGTGCTGGAGTTGGCCGGTAACGCTGCCCGTGACAACAAGAAGACGCGGATCATCCCCCGTCACCTTCAGCTGGCCGTCCGTAACGACGAGGAACTCAACAGTCTGCTGTCGGGCGTGACCATTGCACAGGGAGGGGTGCTGCCAAACATCAACAACGCTCTCCTCCCAAAGAAGGCGTCGGCTGGGTTTAAAAGTACTAAATCTCCGAGTCAAAGCCAAGACTACTAAGAACGCGATGAGCTGGAGTTTGAATAGTCTCCACCAGACTTCTTTGCAAGCAGAATCATAGTAGAAATCGAAACTCGAAAAAGGGGAACTTAGTCTAGTAGTAGAAATCGGCCAGAGTTTAGAAGTAGAAACCGACCATAGAAAGACCCTGTATGGCCGACGAAGTCCCTGGCTATCCCCCAGCTATCTCCTTAGCTTTTAGGCCGATGTTTCTACTATTTATTTCGCCTGCAAAGGAGTCTGGTGGAGACTAGAGTTTGACTACTGAAATGAACCGTGATGATGTCTCCACCAGACTCGTAGTTGCAGGCAGAATAAATAGTAGAAAAAAACGGCCTAAAAGGGGAGACTAGAAGTATAGAAATCGGCCAGGGGAGTTAGCTATATATAGCCGGCCAGAGAAGGACCAAATTTGACCATCTATGGCCGGCTAACTCCCCTTGCCTGTTATAATCCCTTTTAGGACGATTTCTACTATTTATTTTTTTCAGCCTGCAAAGGAGTCTGGTGGAGACAAGAGTTTGACCGCGGTACCAGGCTTGGTAACGTGCGAAATGCATTGAATTTGGCAGCTGAAAACTTAACTTAAATTCCATTACAAAGGTTAATCATTTTTACAGACTAATTTCACTTAATATTTCACTCAAAATTCCTCCAGATGGAGCAACATTCCGCATATCATTGCAATGCAAATATCACCGAATAACTACATTGTAACAGGCGTATATACGTTCTGGTCTTACCATACATACTTCTTGTTCACGTTCCGATTTAGGCATGTATATGTATATGTAATAGGCAGATACATGCAGGTTGATCTGTGTCAACGAAAGCATCATGTTTTCTTCAGTTGTCAGAAAAAAATAAATAAAACTACACTTGCAATGAAAGTACATGTACAATCTTTCTTGACCAGCTCAATTTTTTTCTGTCCGTTTCTGGATTGATCAGGCAACATTCCATGGGCATGGGTCGTACTTAAAGATAAAAACTATACCATTAAAATAATATTCAAAATTGGCGTGTTTTGTACCCCCCCCCCCAAATATATCTCACATAGCTCTAGGCATGCAAGACGTAATTTTCAAGTAGATGTTGGGTTAGCGTAAAATTTTGCGGTACCACTCAAGATATAAACAGTGCGAAACATTGGTGAATTTTAAGGTTTTGAATCTCAATGTTTGCTTTTGAAGAACAACACGGCAACACTCGAGTAAACAATTTGTTTTTTCTCCCATGTTTTAAAATCAAACAGACCTGTCACTCCAAGAAGCCTATTTTTTCATCACGAAGAGGTGCAAAATTACATTATCAATTCATGGTCTCTCCCTAAATCCCCTCTAGCAATTTTGCTGTACTTTATGAATAATGAAATATTTATGTTTACGTTACCTTCGCAGAAGGAAAACATGTGTTTTTTGCTCCGTTTCTTATAATTTCTCTTTTTTTCCTTCGTTCCAAAGTCAATGAACTGACCAGACGTCTGTTACCATGGTAACTGGTGCTGTAGAAGACCATGTGGGTGTTGGGTTACATTTTGTAGCAGAAGTTGGAGGGGCTACTCACCATATAATACTTGAATGTGTTTGGGTAACAATAAACATGATGTAACCCAACACTAGTTACCATGGCGACAGACGTCTGGTTCAGGTCATTGACCTGGAGAAGAAGAGGAGGAAACTGAGCAAAAACAATATGCTTTCCTTCGGTGAACATAATTACCTCCATGAAAAATGGAGGTATTGTTTTTGTCGCGTCTGTGTGTGTGTGTGTGCATTTGTGTGTGTGTGTGTGTGTTTCCGCACATTTGTAGTCAGCATAACTTCAGAACGCCTTTATGGATTGTGATTATATTTGGTATGCTGGTAGGTCTTAGGAAGCCAAAAGTCAAGGTCAAATATGAGCCTACTGGTGGCTGACCTTGGTACTGCAGCAAAACTTCCGGGAAAACAGATGTGCGGGGTAGCAGGGAAAACAGATGTGCGGGGCGCCTGCCCGGTTTTGATTAATGAGGTTCTCCCACGGGAAAAGCCTACATGACCATATCCAGGCCAAAGGTGCTACTGTGTGTTTAAAACAAAAAACCTGTTATTTTGTTCTGTACTGTAGTGTACTGTGTAAAAACATTTAGAAAAACTCCTATATTTCATGGAGGTATGAGATCTCCGAATTCTTGTTACATGGCCTGTGGCCGCAAGGTCGGCTGCTGGCATGACCCGAGAACTGACCAATCAAAAGGTGGCCTCAATGATTAGTCTACAGTTCTCTCCGATTCTGTTCGAGACTTGATTAGGTTGGAGATGTTGTTTTTCGATGCAGCTGCAGCCGACGAAAAAGCAACGCGTCGTGTCGTCTAGGGGTGTTGTTTACCCGATCAAGTTGACTTCATTTTTGTAAAAAGCATGTTGTTGTTTAGTTCAGTTTGAGGGTGGTACCATAAGAGTTACTAGTAAATTGTCTTCGCATCTCTCTGTCAAGCTTGATAGAGGTAAGGTCTCTATGCATTTTCTTGCACACCGTCTGGTCTCCGAGCAGATCTTTGGGTGGCTGAAAAGACAGTGTCAAATTGGCCAGGCTGTATCCATTTGCCATACAGTAGTATCCAATACCCCTGGATCACTTTTGTTATTCATTGTTACTATTTGTTTTGTTACCATTATCATATTGATCATATTGATCAAATTTATTAATTACTTATTGTTATTTATTATTACCATTTGATTTGTTAGCATTATTTCAGTTGTTAATTAATTTTGTCGGGGAAGATCCCAGACAAGCCACTATGGCTTCATATCTTTCCCCAGCATTTTATATTATTGTCAGTAATATGTTCATTTTATTGTTCTTAAATATATGCGAACCAATAAACAAACAAACAAACTGTCTGGTAACTGGATACAGCCTGGCCAATTTGATACTGTCAGTACCTGCCTGTTAGACTACGGGGGCTTAACGGTTGTGTTAATACTCCGTGAAGGAGGTCTACCTCCTTTAGGAGTATTGTGGTCAGACGTTTTTTTTTCGTGTTCGTACCTAGAACACTGGGTTCCCTTTGTTTACTCGACATGTAATGTTTCGTCTGCAGGCATGCCCGTTATGATGCATGTGTTTTTATTTTTACCGTACCTGCTTTCGTGGTCAATGTAATATTTCAAATGTACCCCTACATTTATGAGGAAAATTGGCATTTCCTGATCGCTAAATAGTGTTCAAAACCGTTGAAAATATAATAAGACATCCGAAAAACATATTTTTGTTTTGTAAACCATTTCGCTGCAGGTTACGACTGCTATGGTCATTGCAGGGTCATCGTCTACTTCAAACCAACAACGCATCAGAATATAGCTGAAATGACATATATTTAAAAGCACATCAAAAGTCGTCAAGTGTATAAGAACTTGCAATTAAGTACGCAAGACCAGCTGAAAAAACAACAACCCGGGACGGCGACAGAAGGCCATATAATAATATTGCTCTTCTATTCATAAAGAAATCATTGATGATGATGATCACCAAATATTTCATACTTGCAATTCTTATGAAACTGATGATATGCGTTAAATCAACTGACGTGATCCCTGCAAAGTGTTATGTTAAGAGGGCACTGAGGACTGAGATTAATTGTCCGAGATCCAACCTGACCAGTCTGCCTAGTCGCGTGCCACCCTTCACGGTCGGCGTCTACCTTCAGCACAACCACATCGCAACAATCCGCGACTTGTCGGGATTCCCAACCGTCGGCCGACTGAATCTAAGCCACAACCTTCTCACAACCTTCCCCTGGGAATCTCTGAAACACATGAAACTGCTCATAAACCTTGATCTGTCACACAACCTGCTGACGTCTCTGAATATTGACTTGGCCTTTGGTGAATCCATTGCGCTGTATGAAGTAAGCGTGGCCCACAACAAGTTGACCACCTTCTCTGAAGCGAACCTGGGCAGCCCTCCTGAGAGTGCCAGGGTCGGGTACAGGCACAGAGGCAAGGGACGGAGGTACATCCACGGGAACCCGATTCGCTGCGATTGCCGCGTGTACTGGTTGGCGCTAACGGCCCTCGCCTTCCACCGATGCTGGCCTGTCACGTGTGATTCCATCGTGCAGCATGGTATGCTCTATAGAGATTTCTTTCAATACGGGTTACCGGAGTGCAGCAGTCCTGAAAATCTCAAGGGTGTCCCGGTACACTCGGCCAGTCTATCCGCCTGCACCGCTGGACTAGAACTGACGACTACCAGTCCTCTGAAAATCACCAACACTGAATTGTCCATGTACGTATATAAGACCGGAGGGACAGATACAGCTTCACAACGGTACATTCATGATACAGACCACTCCATCGGTATACTGAAACAGGAAACAACATCCCTACATAACACAACCCAGCGGTTTTCCGTATCAGTTCAAAACCGTAACATCAGCCAAACATCTGCTGAAGAGCGTCTGGCCCACATGACTGTTGCAATAAGCGTCCAAGCGAAAGCAGTCACCTCGACGACAATAATCATTCTCGTTATCATGATTTTTATTCACTATTGTGTCTTGAGCAGAAATTGTATCAATGAATCAAATGCTTGAGATTTCAGGAGTATGAAAAACAAATTTCCATTGATGATTATTCTTAAGAGACTACAGGAGTATACATGATCATGAATAACAATGTCCATTGATGTTTTTTCAAACAATGGTAATTTTAATTTTTCACTGAGAATTGTACCTCAACCAGAGTTCTACGACCCCATACCTTCGCCAAATGATGTTGACCTTTACGACTGACGAATTATGAATGTCATTTCTTTTCAATTATGCAAACAAGATACTTTCTGCATGAATTGTATAGGTTGATCATATTCTCCTCCCAATGACAGTCTTTTCTTAACAAAGCTATTTTAGAATCTAGATGGCCGGGACCGTGGTAATAGAATTATGAATTATTATTATACATGTAATTATATAGAATTATTCGTGTATAAGAGATGGAGGCGATGATATCCTGTATATTGTATATTTTAGCTGTAATGTGAATTTGTAAGACATTTCTCTCAGTTCACTTTAAGAAATGAGATTGTAGACGGCACCTGTAATGATAATGTAAATTTATAATCATGGTTGTATTAATTACTTTAGGACCAATATAATTTCAAAATCCACGTAAATTGTCTAACGAGGTTGGAAAAGTTTTTTTTATTTTCAACATGTGCTGTGATTGCTTGTATAGTAAATATTCAATGTGAAACCTTAGTCAATGTGTCGATAATATTAAGTGTTAAACTTTAAGGGAATTACACATGCTGTAATAGAAAACGATGAAGCCAAAGTTACCAAAATACTTTAAAAACTTCTCACTTAAAGTATAACATGATATCAGACAGCTGAGATTTCTTCATCCAGATACGTTTTGTTTTGCCACCCTAAAATTAGATAGACTGCATTTAGTGAAATCGCAGGGGGCAATTTTTCAATATCTGACTACAGTTCCTCTCTATTGGACGATGCCACGAGTTTGGGAATGACGTCATTCCACAGCGCCATCCTGTCCGGATGCAGGCCTACGTCAGCAGATGACGTCACACCCAGCCGGATGTAGGCGGGGTGGTCACGTGTGTAGCGGGGCCACTCTGGTAACGCCAGGCTGTCGGCTGGGGCACCTGTAGGGTCGGACGGGTCTCTGGAAAAAAAAAAATTTGCAAATTTTCATGATAACGAAAAGGAATTGTTATGATAATAAAACGTATCAAGAAGAGCTAGCAAAAGCTGTGTGTGTGTGTGTGTGTGTGTGTGTGTGTGTGTGTGTGTGTGTGTGCATGTGTGTGTGTGTGTATGAGTACCTGTGTGAGTGTGTGTGTGTGTGTGTGTGTGTATGTGTGTGTGTGTGTGTGTGTGTGTGTGTGTGTGTGTGTGCTGTTCGAACCAGTATGTCTTTAAATTTATTCATTTAAAGTCCTCATAACGTATAGTATTATATAGACTTACCCCGTGCGAGCAAAATTAGCCCAGTAAGCCATCATGTCCAAGCTGACTTTCCTGTCGTCCTGTGAGAACGGGATCGAACCTCCGGCCCTCAGCTGGACGTCCAGAAACGGCCACCCGGACATCATGGCCAGATCGTCACCGTGGTCGCACCCCACCCAGTCCGGCCGGCCAGCCGCGGTGGATGGCACGTAGTAGTTCTCATAAAGGTACACCTTAGATCCAGATGCTAAAAAAGAAGCAAACAAACAAACTAGAAAGGTAAATTAAATGTAAATGTTTACCTTCACGTGGTTCTAGCCCAACAAACTACTGCTCTGTTTATTCTTACTCAAATATATTCATATGTATGGTGAGGGTACACCTTAGATCCAGCTGCTACAAGAAAAAAAGGGAAAAAACTCCGAGTTTGTAAAAGGTACACTTTAGATCCAGATGCTGAAAGAAAAAATAAAAGAAAAAGGTAACGTTTGCAACGCTTACCTTAACCTGGTTTAGCCCAACAAACTACTGATCTGTCTTTTTTAGAGACGTATAAGATCACGAAAACTAAAAGTACTACAAAGGTAACATTTTCAAAGCAAATGCGTAATGTTTACCGCCACCCGGGCTAGATATCACAAGAAAGAACTGCTTTGTTCATTCTTACTGAAATACATTTCTATGTAGGTTGAGTAGCCTCTCCAACTCTGTTCTGCTACATAATGTAACCCAACACCACATTGTGTCTGCTACAGCACCAGTTACTCGTACCATGGTGACAGACGTCTGGTCTAGGCTTATAACGCCCCCCGTCACGGTTCAAGGTAAATGAATGAATCACAAAGCATGGTATCAATTAACCTTTTATTTTTGTTAAAGTCAGAAACACAACTATTTGCAAAAGTGCATTTCATAGATACATTCAGACTTTTAATCTCACCTGTGTGTTTCATTGCGGTGTCGACGGTTGGAGCCACGAACATTTGGTCGCCTTGGAACAGGGTAAACTGATACTGCACCGCCATTGGATCGTCTGGGTTGTCATGGTTACGGTACACGTCACGCGCGGCTGCCACGATGCCGTCTTTGTTCTTGGTTCCCTGAATGACACGTTTTCACGTTTTCAACCAACCCATGAAATATGGAATTTACAGAATGAATGTGAATAAAAATTATTACAGTAATCTACATGTATCTATTGAAACCATGATTGATTCAAATACCATTTAAAAGTAATGTAGCTAAAAAGAAAGATTCGTGAAGCAGCGTCAGGAACGGATCAAAGTTGTCTTGTAATTTGTAGCGTCCCCCGTCTCGGCTCATTTCAACTTGCATGAGAGGGGTAAGATTACTTACTGAAAACTTGGTCAGAAGTTAACTTCGGTGTATGGTAGCAGAATTATAAATCTCCACACAAAGTTTTCTTTTCAGCTACTGCACCTAACGTTCTAAAATCTTCACTGAATGTCAAATTTATCGTAACAAACGACCTTTCATTTTAAAAAAGAAGAAGCTTGTAAGTATGCCTACCGGGTAGATTTTCTCTATGAGTTTCTCCATTTCGAGAAGGAAGGCATCTTCTGTCATCCCTTTCCCGAAATCTGAATACATAATGGAAGGCATCACAAATCCGAACTCGTGATTGTTGACTCCCAGAAGATACTCCACGGCGTTCGCTTGTCCGTTTTCGTACAAACCCGTCGGGTGTTCCGGTAGAAAGTGTCCGTCTAGCACGGGACCGAAATGCGCCCCCCTTTCGCCGCTGCCGTAACTCGCCATCCGCTGGGCGCCTGGACAAATTTTAAATTTTATATTAAGACCTCTGACCTCTCGGTACAACTTGCATGTTGTGTGTGTTTATGTAGTATGTAGTTAAGCCTTGCCATATTGTAACGTTAGTAGTATGTAGTTAACCTTCATCACGCTGTAGTAGTATATGACTTTTGTGTATAACGACTCCAGGAAGATTAGTATGTATGGAAACTCAGTCTGTACAAACTAATGGAGATCGGTTTAATAAACAAAACAATAAACAAACCTGCCACCAGGTCGTCCGCAGGCTTCTGCCGAAGACAGGCCACCAGGCCAGCGGCGTCCTTCGCCTCACAACCCACCTGTAGAGTTACGTTGATGAAGGTTAGACATCCAGGTAAACAATACTCGTCGGAAATTCAAACTCTACAAGTCATGTATTACTGGATAAATTACGGAGTGACATCCACCACTCTTCTCGTTCATTAATGACGCTGGAGAGTGGTGGATGTCACTCGAAACGTCCGAAAATACTTCATTCACCTCGTTTCCCAACATCTCAGCTATTCACTCACTCACTCACTCACTCACTCACTCACTCACTCACTCACTCACTCACTCACTCACTCACTCACTCACTCACTCACTCCCTTATTCATTCACTCACCTCATTTCCCAACATCGTAGCTAACTCCATAGGCTTTGCCGCCGGCTCCATGGTGTTGTAAGTGCCGCTCTGCGAGATGGCCCGCTGGAACAGTCCCTTACTGAGCGGGGACAGAACTTGGTAGCTGACGCTCACTCCGCCAGCCGACTCGCCGAAAATCGTCACCCGCTCAGGGTCCCCTCCGAAGTTCCGGATGTTCTCCTTAACCCAAATCATTGCCTGGATCTGCGGAAGGGAATCAACTTTAATCATGGACAATTTAATCATAATGATTGTCTTTTCTTGTTTAAAGTTGCTCCAACACAAAGAATTGTCCTCACCAAAGTTATCTATAGTAGGACTTTTAACCAGTTAATCTTGTCTTCTTCAATAGACTGACCCAGTGAGACTTGTCACGTGTGACGTCAACATCACGCGGGCCCATCACTCAACCGCGACGGGGGCCGACATAGTTTACAAGATACCTTTGACCCAGTGTTTTTGAAACGGACAAAAATTCCTGCGAGCGCGGATGTCACTCATGTAATCAAATCAACATGGCCTTACATGGGGAAAAAATTATATAAAAGATAATTCCCGGCATGCCCCATGCGTAATGCAGCGGAAGTAGCTGACCTGGTCCAGGAAGCCGACGTTCCCAGGGGCGTTCTCGTCCCCAGTGCTGAGGAAGCCCAGCGCGCCCAGACGGTAGTTGATGGAGACGACCACGACGTCTTGTCGGGCGGCGAGGGCGGCGAAGGGCACGACGTACCCCATCCCCATGGACAAAGCGCCTCCGTGGATCCACAGCAACACCTTAGTAAACATTGCAAACGTTTTTTTTTTCTCCATTAGATCCGTTTGCTACATGCAAATAGCATGACAAGCCGCCAGGGGGCCGAAATCTCATCAAGACCTATCCACATACCAAATATCAAGACAAGCGATATCTCTCGAGTTATCGTGTTTACAGATAGACAGCAAGTAGATATACTACACACGCACGCACACACACGCGCACACACACACACACACAAACACGCACACACACACGCGCGCGCACACACACACACACACACACACACGCACACGCACGCACACACACGCACACACGCACATACACGCACACACGCACACACACACACACACACACACACACACACGCACACACGCACACACGCACGCACGCACACACGCGCACACACACACACACACACGCACACACGCACACACACACACACACATGACACGCACACACACACGCACGCACACACACACACGCACACATATTTTGTTTTGACTTCAACATTGAGGGCAACGGGCCTGCCCAGTCGAACCTCAAATATAGACTATAGTAGATAAACAAAGGCCAGTAAGGTTGATAGAGGGTACCACAAACATGATACGGTAGAATACTGACGTTAACTCACAGGCAATTCGGCATCTTTGTCAACAGTCGGAGTTTCTATGTTCAGCGTTAGACAGTCTTCGTCGAAGTCGTAGTGCTGAAGCTTGAAGGGGAAGAGCTGCAGGATATGCGGGCCCTGTGGACAGTACGGGCCGGGACGTGTAGCGTCCCTGGCGCCCTCCCACGGTACTGCAGGCTGCGGGGCGCGGTACCGCAGGTCTCCAACAGGGGGCGCTGCGTATGGAATGCCCAGGTAGGTGTAGATGGGCTTGTCGGGTAGTCTGTCGATGTACTGTACTGTTCCTTGTACGGCGCCGCTGTTGGTAGATACAGGCGGGCATGCAGATCCATTGCCATCGCTTGCGTTGGCAACTGGTAGGAGATACGAAAAAAAAGAGAAGTTTTGCTACAGTACCATAGAAACTCGCTAGGGGACCACAATAACTTGAACTTGTCCTATTCTTACACATACACATGATATTGAATTTTGAAATATAAATATTGTTACGCCGGAAGGGTGGCTATATGCCAGCCATACAGGACATACAGATACAGAATCTAAAAATGTGTTACGCCGAAGGGTGGTTATGCCAGCTATACAGCTACAGCCAGCTATAACCTTTGGACCCTTTCATTTTTCAAATCGGACGTCAGACACCCACCTAAACAATACATGGACATGTATATACAAATGTGCTAGAGATTTCCGTACAAATCCGAAGTAATATCCCCCATACAAAACTCACCTTTTGCCAACAGGCACGTTGCTAGTAGCACAAGAAACAGGGTCCGGCGGGACATAGTGAGAGCAGCAGTGCAGTACGTACGTGTACGAACCTAGTACCTGAGTGGTGTTTTATGCGTATATTTGCAGTGGGCTGCTACGTCTAACGGCTAACAAGCCACGCCTCCTAAGCAATGATCTCGTCGGTGCAAACGTTAAGCAAATATTCTGAGGACGTCTATGAAAAAAGATTCGTTGCGTAAACCACTATAAAGGGATCCAGAATATGCCATTTCAGGGTGGTAAACTTTTTTTTTCAAAGTCTACTTTCTGGTCATTCTTTTAATGTTGTATGGCATAAGTTAAATCAACATCTATCTACATCTACATGATACGGGACAAAGTGCCTCACGGCACATCACGTCCCGGGAAAGGAGGTGCAGCTGGTGTGGCAGGTGGTGGTGCGCAACAAAAATATACAAACAAATGAAAAATGATCTATAAATAATAAATTGCAAAAAGAAGAAACCGAAATGTGCAACTATATACAAAAGCCACACCAGAAAACAAAAATGACCCTACAGCTGGGTATTGGCGGAGAGGCCAAGGTGACTGGCCAATCCCGCCTTAAACGCATCAAGGGATGTGCAAGATATGAGTGTACCTGGTAGTGTGTTCCACTCGATGACGGTTCGAGGGAAATAACTGGCTCTGTATGCTTCTGTCTTGCATGGGATGGTGATGAAGCGTGAGTGATGTCCTCTTGTAATGTTTGTGTTTTTGGTGAGAATGTTGTGTATAGGAATGGCTACCATGTTATTTACTGCTTTATACATTAGGACAAGTCTGGCTTGCTGCCTGCGTTGATGCAGGGAAGGCCATCTAAGTGTTCTCAGTGTATCTGTCATGCTTGTTGTTGGTCTGTAACATATTAGTAAACTGATATCTAAGAGGCAAAAATTGGATGTTGCTGACGGGAATGAGACTAAAATGTGCTAAGAAATGGCAGCAGATGTCAATATCAGGCAGATTTCCTCATCCGGACTATTTCCTTGTTTTGCCTTAAATAGCACTTCTGTATTGAATAGTATAATAGTTCCACGTTAACGTTGTATAATGTTATGTAGATGAGAATAATGCATAAAACGTTGTCGGTGTAGCACTGTATTTAGCGATCGACATTTTTTGTTTCCTAGGCAAAAGTTTGCTGATGAACAGACAATAGATGATCCAATAGAAGTAACATCCGTTCTCGCCCATTGTTTATCACGAACACATTAGAGGAGCGGGATGATAGAAAAAAAGCAAGTCATTGTGAAGAGATCGCTGGACGATAACATACTGTAACTGTATCTGTATAGCCGGAATAACTCCCCTTCGGCGTAACACACCAGCTTCTGTATCTGTATAGCCGGTATAACCGACCTTCGGCGTAACACACCAGCTTCTACCTGTATAGTAGTAGCTGGAATAACTCCCTTTCTGCGTAACACACCAGCTTCGCAGGCACGCGGCTCGGCGGCAGCTAGCTATATCACACCGAACGACTTGTTACACGCGATCTGTGCACATGTTAATTTTAGGAGTTGTTTAAAGCTTTCTAGTGATGATTCCCCGACTGTGCCTGATAGCGACGAGTTCCGCTCTGCGATAGTTCTTGGAATATACGACCTTTCGAACACCTTAATAGTTGGTTGATAATTATAATTCTGATATATTTGAAGGCGTCACTATTTCATGTTCTTTTCTGAGCTGGTATTAGTTACTTAGTAGTTGGTACGTCCGCCAGTTTATTAGTCATTTTGTACATCGTGCACAGTCTGGGCATTTGTCGTCTGTCTTCCAGCGACCCCCACTGTAGGTTTCTTTTTATTCGTACAAGTTGTGCGACAAATCAGAGGTGGTCATAATGCTTTACCCCCTCTGGCGGAACATGGAGAAACTGTAGTATTGAAATTCACGTTTACAATTTTCAGGAACTGTTATATTTCACTTTTATTGCTGTCATCTTGGCTTGAAGGCTTTTTATACTATACACCATGTTACACGCAACTTAAAATGAAAAATATCACGCAAAAATAATATATATGCAGGAAGACTAGTGTAGTATAAATAAGTGAGGAACGTCGTGTAAAGTGCCTTTCCTAAGGGCACAAGATCGATGGCATGTCAGGACTCGAACCCTGGACCTCTTGATTCCAAGTCGAGCACTCTGCCGCTACGCCACACATCAAATCAACCAAATCAACGCATATGGTCGACGCTTAAGGAACATACCGTCAGGGTCAAGGTTACAACAGTTACCACCCTTACACCACTGTGTGCCCGAAAGGTTACCCTGAAACCGTGGAACGTGCACTATGCCCCTGTGTGTTTACCATAGATCGTTCAGATTCCGTGTCGTCAGCCACGTATACAAGAACTGCGCACCAACAAAACGGTTACCTCTCCAAGTTCACGTTCAGGATTCGCCAACACCGCTCCATTTTCACGCCTATACGTTACTGCGACCGTCTATCGACTCTAAAAAGGGACGTGCGTTAAATCCACCACCATGGACGGAATCGTCCAGGCTAGCAACCTGACCGACGTGTTCCAAAAACGAGCGCTGTCCCCGCCGTCTAGCAGGCGAACGAGGAAGGACTCTGAACCTACCACGCACTACGGCCGCCCGAGAGCGTACACGTCGCCAGCTCCCGTGCAACTAGAACACCACCACCACCATCATCATCACCATCATCACCATCGTCATAGGTACTGATACTGAACTTTATTTGCTTCTTGCCTCAAATGGGCTAGGGCAACATACAGTATATACATTAAAATCAAACGTACATATAATATGCATATAACATAGTAAAGAAATTAATTAAAATTAAATCAATCAACCAGTCAATCAATCAAGAAGTGAAGTAACTAGATAACATATAAAGGAAATTGTAGATTATTAAGTATAGAACACCATGTGACAATCTTATAACCAATAGTAAAAACAACAAGGGGAACAAATCGCACATAAATTTGTAACAATTAATACAACAAGAACAATTTATAACGTGAATGTAGATCAACAATAAAACACGCAGTGGGAACAAACTGAAAATAAAATGTAAATCCGTCCTAGGAAGCACTCGGAGAGACATTACAGGGAGGAGGAAAGCCCACAAGGAGCATCCGCTTCTCCTTCTTCTCTGAAGGAACGCAAACTCTCCGAAAAGCTGCACCTGCCGCACATACACCTGCACCTGCCGTCCTTCCTTACACCGCCGAGTAGGCGCAGAAGTACGTATTGTATAATCTACAACCATCTTTCGATGGCCGCAAAAGACAGTATCAAATTGGCCTAGCAATACATGTATGTCCATTAGCCAGGGAGTATCCATATGCAGTGGCCACTAATATATGTAGGTGGCTAATGGACACTCCTCTGGCCAATGGATACTGCCTTGCCACTGTATTATCTGCTTGGAGATTATGTATTTTATACATATCTTACTTTAAAGCACGTACTTTGCATACAGATATTTATTTACCAGTTCTTTTCTGGTTGTCATGTTGTCTTCATTATTTTACGTCCGTTATCAACTAATCAAGCTGACTGAATATTCTAATAATTCACCTTAAGAATATGCGACAAAGGATAGTATTAAGAAATGAATTCCCGGTAAACATTTGGGGGTGGGAGGGGGGCTACAAAACACTCTAGGTCAGTCTTTCTCTGTTTACCAAATGTCTACGCCACTTATATTTCCAGGTCACGAGAAGAGGCCAGAAGAAGAAGAAAATGCACCAGACACAAAGAAAGAACAGACGGACGACCACAGTGCCTCCGATGACGACAACAGCGACTGACGCACGACCATCATACGACTCCAGTACAACCTGCAAAGTTGCTTTGACGCATTTGTCGTACAATAGTTTTACGACTATAAGGGTAGAAAATTAAGGGCAGTCGTGAGTGTATCACACATGCAAAATTAACTGTCAAAATTTCATTGTAGATCGTCGATTTTCTTGTCTTGTTTATTGTTATATATAAAAAGGAATCCTTTAAAAAATAATAACAAGCTTAGAGCAATTTAACTTGGTCTTTATGGTAACATGTCTGTACTAGATTGTACGATATGTTGCGAAAACTGTAAATTGCCTTTGTAAATATGAATTTATAAAATAATATGTGTACACAGTCAGGCAACACTTGAGCATCTTGCTTTGTTTAAAGAAGCTTCAAACGAATATATAAGGACTAAAATAGCTTAAATGTCTGAAAGCTTGCTAGGTAGGTAGAGTAAAATGTAAACTGTTTAACGTCTAGGATAATTTCTCAGTCTAAAGTCAAAGTTCCTTGTTGTACCTATATGCCACAGCGAGTACATGTACGTGTACATGTACCCGTAAGTTCTATGCATGTGAACGTTTAAAGATCATGTAAACATGTTGTTGTTATTATGCACATTTTTTTCGTCCCCCTAGTAACGACTTCACGCAACGTCGTTACTGTAACAAGTGCAACAAAAACAAGTTTGTACAGGCTTATAAATGATATATTGACTGTGTTAATGGGGAGGGGGGGCATTCACACGTGCTCTTAAACAAGTAGTTTGACGCATTGAGCTGCGTACAATACGTTAGAAAATTTTACCTTGAAACTTGATCTGTGTTGATAGAAGAAATGATCTATATAATGTCCTTGATATAAGTCATATGCAAGCAAGTTTAAACTGTAATTTCAAAACTGTACTCAGAAATTGGAACCAAATTTTCGACTCTGTAGCTCTTTTTGTTTGGAGAATTAGCAGTTCACTGCTTATGTTAGAACATTTTAGTTTCACTGGCGATGGTCTACTATCTTAAAGTTGGTGATTCACTAAAATCACCCAGATAGAGGCCTGGCGAACCCCCGTGTCCAATTAGCCACCCTGCAATTAATATACGAGTTGTATCGAGGCCACATTGCATTAGTATCTACTTGAAAAAAACATAATGCTTCACCTCAGTAGAGGAGAAAATAAGATGAAGAAGAAAAATGTACAAATACGATATCAAGAGTACACATACGTCAGTGTGACGTCATTGACTGTTCAGAACAGGAAATGACGCCATGCAATAAACATGTGCGAGCTCACAGACAGGAAATGACATCATGCGATGTGCATGTATATACGCCGAAAAGGACAATAAAATGAACAATATTGACATTGTCAACTTCACGTAGACTTTGTTTTGTGTTGTTTGACGGACGTTTCTTAGACGATTGCGTCTATGCCCGATAACAATCATTTGTGTACAATGTCTAGCATGTATTGAAGTGATTTGTTATTGTATTATATATACACCCCCTAAGCCTCTGCCAGGCTTCGGGGGGCGACTATGAAGAGATGTGACAAACTGTACTCTTTATCAGACCAACTTCCCTCACATGTTCTCTCTCTATTTAGCCAATTTCTATTCTTTCCAGCCGCTTCCCGAGGCCTGGTAGAGGCTACAGTTTAACTCTGGCCTTGCCCTTTTTTAGGGCATTGTTCTTTACCCAGACCCACTGATCGCTGTACTTGTACTAAATAAACATGTTTTCGTGTGTCGGTAGCCGGAGAGTCATTGTTACAGGCACACTTTATATACAATCAATAAATTCCCCAGGTGTCAAGCCACATACATGATCCTGCCAAATACATGACTCCCACACTACTTGGGGGTTTCTAATATACCTGAGACAAGGGGTGGGAGGGGGTTAGTGGTGATGTGGAAGACTAAACCTAATCTCCAAGCAGATCTTTTGGTGGGGGGAAGACAGTATCAAATTGGTCAGTCTGTATCCATTCCGGCTTCGGTGGGGAAATGGATACAGACTGGCCACTTTGATACTGTTTTACCCCCACGTAAAGATCTGCTTGGAAATTAGGTTTGTTTAGCCTTCACTAACAATGATCCCAACTTTAACCCTTACTCTAATACCAACCCTAACCCTAGCCCTAGCCCTAACCCTTACTCTAACCCCAACTCTAACCCTAGCCCCAGCCCTAAACACCTGACTTCTCACGTATGTGGCAGCTCAAGGATTTGGCTTAACACCCGTGCAAAGACGTCAAGCAACGTAGTTATGCGACGACCTTTACAAGGCAGGTAAACACTTCAACAGAAAAAGCACTGAGGGCAGACAGTGTTCCTTGGGCTTTCTGAGTTTCCTTGGGGGCACCCTGGTCAGGTCATATCCTGTACAGACGCCTTGACGTCATTTCAAGATTCTTATCTCAAGTGGTAGCATAGCAGTGGTCAAAGATTGTTCCAGTAAAGAACAGTATATTAGTAGAGAGTATACGGTATGTAAGCGTAGTTTTTACCATTCACTGCAACGTAAAACGAAACACACGTTGCTCGGAACTTTGGAAAACGTTTCTTTGGTTTCAATTGTCGATTGAAAAATAGTGGGGCCAGCTTGAAAAAAAAAGTAGCGGCTTGGCTTGTTTTATTGGCTTCATGTAAACACGGTGTGCATTGGTATGTATGTCTAGCGCTGCCACCGCAAGCAAGCAAACGGTCCACACACACACACTCATGTATGTACACAAGGCGCGTGACGTCATCAGTGAGGCATGATGGCGTCAGAAATCCTCCACCACGACAATGGCGGACCGCCACACGACAAAAAACAGACCCCGTCGCATCCTTCTTACTTCTAGTTTTACAGCCCTGTCACCGGATGTGTCGCAATATAAAAGTTGGGAGCTTCAGTGGTGTGCCAGTACAAGCCAGAGGAGCGCCACCTGAGTGACAGACCGTTTTACTGAGGGAAGTCCAGCACTTGCTCCAATAACTTGCTGCGAAGATGTATACTATTACTACTTTAGCCTTTCTTGGTTTTCTTGTCGGGAGTTCGTTGGCGATGCCTGTTCCGGAGCCTACTCTGGTAAGATACTACGCTTGAACATTTTTTTTTTTGCATTCATGCTTTACTTAATACTTTTACTCAAGAGAGACATTCTTCCATTCAAGCAAACTTATAAACTTGTTGAAGCTGTGACAGTACTATGCTTTCGATGCTCATTCTTCAAGTATTGATCATGATAACATGTACAATACTCCCGTTAACTTATCATCTAGGCAAAAAGTAAGTCTGGGGTGTACTGAATAAGATCCATAGAAGGGAATCTTTTCTTTCATTAAATGAGTGAAGAAAACATGATCATAGCATTGCTTACATAGCGGTATGTTTCTTCCTCAGACCGCCGAATTGGACGTACAAAGCACAGTGTACATGGTGACAGAAGATGCAACGGACGATGCTGTAGACGATACAACGGCGTCCGCATCTCTAGCTACAGAGGCTGGAACAACGTCCACACCTCAGGCCACGGAAGCTGCTGTAGAAAGTACAACAACGTTCACACCTCAGGCCACGGAAGCTGCTGTAGACGCTACAACAACGTCCACACCTCAGGCCACGGAAGCTGCTGTAGACGCTACAACAACGTCCACACCTCAGGCCACGGAAGCTACTGTAGAGCCTACAACAACGTCTACACCACAGGCCACGGAAGCTGCTGTAGACGCTACAACAACGTCCACACCCCAGGCCACGGAAGCTGTAGAAGCTACAACAACGTCCACACCTCAGGCCACGGAAGCTGCTGTAGACGCTACAACAACGTCCACACCTCAGGCCACAAACGCTGCTGTAGACGCTACAACAACGTCCACACCTCAGGCCACGGAAGCTGCTGTAGAAGCTACAACAACGTCCACACCTCAGGCCACGGAGGCAGCTACAGAATCTACTAAGGTCCCAGAGACCACCACATCTAAAGGCAGGTTACCACTTTTTGTCTGAATGCTAACATTGGTAATCTTTTTTTTGTCAAAACTTGCAAAGTAGCCTGTTTATTTGGCGGTGATACCATATGATGTAGGAACCAGCCATTCCATTCATATGGATCATGTATGAAACCGTATACATCTCAAAATGGGTCATCAAACCTGCATATATAAAATACTTCAATCTTCATTCCTTATTACATTACAGCGTTCAGTTGTGACGGAAAGGAGCCCGACCTGTACTCGGACCCCGACGACTGCACGAAGTATTACGAGTGTGTCCGCGGGTTTGCCGACCCCTTCCACCGGTCGTGTGCGCCGGGCGGTCCCGTGTTCGACCCCGAGAAAAAGTACTGTGACTGGCCCGAAAACGTCGCCCTTCCTTGCGGGGTAAGTGTATGAGAACGTATGTTGTAGAATTTAGTATAAATGGTTTTAGTCTCTTATATACATGTATTTTCTTTTTTACCATGGACCTCTGCAGTGTATCATTATGGTAAAAACTAACTCAAAATATCCCTATTAACATAAGTGACAAAACAACAAACGATTTAATGGAGGGATGATGTCTAGGACTTCTTCTTGTTCATGTATATATGTTGTTTGTACTTGGAATTAGTGCACTGGATGCATTTGCAATAAGCTGGCTTAAAATGGTGTATATTTTATACAACGACAGTCTATTTCGTTGAATGGTAGTTTTATGGTCAATTGTAATCAGGGATGATGATGATGTGATCAGGAAATGTTGGTGTTTGGTGTCTTTGGTGTCATTCGCACTTAATCGTGGTTTTTTTCTCTCTCTCTTCTTCTTCTTCTACAGGTCTTAGCCGATACTCAGGACAATGCCGAGGAAGATGCTGCGAGGACCTCCACAGCTCAGACCACGGAAGCTGCCATAGAAGCTTCAACAACGTCCACGGTAGAAGATGCTGCGAGCGCATTCACCTGCGATGGTAAGGCGCCCGGAGTCCACCCTGACCCTGAGGACTGTGGGAAGTTTTACCAGTGCGTGACCGGACATCCCGAGCCCTACCGACGCGACTGCCCGGCGGGGGGTCTGGTGTTTGACGTTGAACTCCAAGTCTGCAACTGGCCGTGGACGGTGCCTGCGCCTTGTGGGGTACGTTAACGCCCCTTAACATTCGTTTGATAGTCTTTCAAGCAATCTTGTGGGGTCGTTTGGTGTAGCGGCAGAGTGCTCGACTCGGAACCAAGAGGTCCCGGGTCCGAGTCCTGACATGCCACCGATCTTGTGCCCTTGGCACTTTACACGACTTTCCTCACTTTGCTCAGGTTAAAATGAGTATTTTATTGTCCCCTGTGTTGGTGGCGGCATTAATTTAAGTTTAGAAAACTTGAGTGTGCCGTCACCACGTCTTGTGATTACATGTTGGAAATAATGAAAAAAAGCAGATCTTTTGGTGACTGCAATACAGTATTGGCATTTGGCAAGACAGTATCAAATTGGCAAGACAATGTGAAATTGGCCAGACAGTATGCAATACGCTACCCGATGGGGAGGCCAATGGATACTAGAGACTCCCCTGGCCCCAGAGAATCTGCTTGGAGATTATTCGTTCATCATAATCTTAGACAATGGAAAGAAGTGGGGGGGGGGGGTAAACTTGAGAGTAGGTTTACATCACGTGGGTATTTAAAAATTGACAGGCAGAATTCGAATGTCTGGCAGTCAAAAGGCCAGACACTAGAAATAATACAATAGAATAATACTTTTAAACGACTTTCATACCTGATAGCTTCCCAACGTCCAAAAAATGGCATAAAGCTCACGATATGATATTCATTCTTTTTACAGACGTTGCCTGAGGAATTTCGAAACCGCCACTGATGCCACGGAGCGAAAATCACATCGCACGTTCATGCCGCTATTAATGCTAAGATCGGTATACGTAGAATAATCCCGATCAAATTGCACGGTATTTGTAAAATTCTTGTTAATAAAGAGACATGCTACTGCTGCTTGTAAAGTACGATAGTGTAAATACGTACTACTAAGTTATTGCATTAGATGCAATGTTTTTATACACTCTTTGATGGAAATAAGATAAAGATCTGAATGGATTAAAGAAAGGCGCTCGCTGACGCAACTTGATTTGGGATTGTAAAAAATTATTTAGATGTTGACGCATTAAATCATGTTTATGCTGAACCAAAGATTGTGGTTGTTATTTTTTCATGACATTTTAAATTGCGTGTAACATGGTGTATAGTACATGCAGGAATCCTTCAAGCCAAGATGACAGCAATACATGTGAAATAAAACAGTTCTTGAAGACCCCCAAACTAGTGGAATAAAATAAAAATTCCGGCCAAAAATAAATCTTGTTCCCTGTGCCATATATAAGTTATCTCATGCCAAAATACAGCACATTGGGGTGTTATATTATCACCTTCCGGTATATTCCAGCCTCCTATATGTGTATTCCAGTGTATTCCGTTCTATTCCGTTGTATTCCGTTTTATTCCAGTAAGTAGACTGACCCAGATTTTGTGATGAGGCACAAGTGCAACTGTTTTAATTTGCTTTCCACGGGAAAACAGCAACCGAAATGAGTACTATCCAATACAGTAGTATGCTTATATATCTATAGTCACGTATGGACCCTAATCGTATGGGATACTTTCGTGTGCTGAAAATTTGCATATTGAGGACAACTTAATGGACTCTTTTTCGAATCCTAGAGGACGTCTGCAAGCTAGGAAAATTTTTGTGAAGAAAACATGTCGGATTGTAGCCCTATAAGTATTATTTTAGTGTCGTCCGGTAGTCTGCGAGGAGACAGACTTCTTTTCAGGTATCCTTATCAAGACCTGCCATGCAAACCGACTATTTCGACAGGTAAGCGACGAAAATTCATTTCATTTTGAGCGAGTGAGGGTGGGAGGGGGGGCGTGTTTATTTACATGGACGAACTTCAAGATTCGGTAACATGAAATAACATACAGCTGTTTTAAGTGTTTTTCGTGATTTGGGGCACACCAAAATGCGATTTAGAATTAAAACAGAACCTTACTGCAAAACATTAACAGCAGAAACATTTGGTAGTACAGTAGGTAATATTTGATAATATCCTATAGTATAAAAAAGCAGATATTTTTTGGCAACACCATAGCGACGGAGGCAGTTCTGTTGACGGTAAAAAATACAAAAATATTCCAAATCAATTCAACATCTTTTGTCTTTTGTTTTTCTGCTAACAAATTTCATGTTTACCTTCTCTTCCTTTCTTTCTGTTGTGTTGTTTGACGTAACTGTGCGTTGTTTTGTATCGTACCCGTTTGTGAAACAACAGTCCTAGGCCCCACTACCGCTGACAACTGGTTCGAAAGAGTGTTTCCCTTCTACGGCTCTCAGCGTTACACCAACAGTCTGCCAACTGTCGCCGAAGGCAGGAACCTCAACAACTTTTCCCAAACTCAACAAAATCATAATGAGGGCTATCCTCCGTAGCAGGCTTATAGAACTGGGGGTTTGGTGGTCTTCGGCTGTTTTCTGACTAGCCCAGTTAAAAAAACGGGGGTAATTCAACCAGGCCGGCTGTGTTGTCTATATGCAATCAGAAAATAGCACATAAAAGCTCCCTAAGACCCTGAAGACCCCCAAACCCCCCAGTTTTTAGCATGCTATGGAGGCTAAATGAGGGCTTGCATGCCCTTTTTAGTCTTCGTAATCTGTAGGCAGCCACCCAAAATTATCGTAATTTGTATTCAGCCGTAACGCATAGTTGTTCACAATCAGCTCTGAGAATGTAACGTAATTAATTAAAATCAGCAGCGAAAATTTTCCATAATTACATTCACTATCCCCCCATGCAGGCCCTCAATAATCAATTGTAACTGATAGTAATACACCATTAAATCATTCGTACATTCAAATCATTTTAATATTTCACATGTTTCATAACCAAATATTTCAGCCCACATTCAAAGCAGATGATCATTATTATTGATGTAATGCATTTTTTCATCATAACCTTTTTCATTTCAGGATCACGGAAATTATGAATCTTATTGTAAATCTGTTGCCTTTTGTGATTGAATAACTGAATGCCAATGCATAAAGTGATTTGCCAAGGGTTTTGATTCACAGCTAAAATTCAAGCATGTTAAGTATTTATAATACATATTTCATCTAGGTAGTATTTAGTGATCATTGATTTCTGTTCAATCTGTAGAGATGTTATATACATGTACATGTAATATTGATAATACATGTGTATATACGAAATTGAAGTCATCAAACCTTTCAAACTGTAAGGATGAATAATTGTTTGATGATGATTATTAATATCATTTCTGATTTCTGGACATTGCAATGCTACAGTGCTACATTTGCATACCAGTAACTGCTATCTTCTTAGCAAAGTAATGTTAAACTGGCAGTCTTTAGCATTGGCTCCAGAATTTCTGCAGATCACACCAAAATTACTAGGAAGCTTTTGATCAGAATTATGTTTTATTACAGTGGCAAAATACACATTAAAGTTGTAAGTTTTATTTTTCAGCTGTGGCCTCAAATCCATATGTACTACGGGAAGCTGACTGCAGGTTAGTGCGATATTAATAAGTCATGACTACGTTAATATTAATCTTTGACATTGCTAGAAGGTTATTGATTGAACTTCTTTGCATTGTTTATTGTAATCATAAATGGACATTGCACAAATTCTATTATGAATCTGATGGTACATCTATATGAGTTTTTTTGAGTCTGAATCAGGTGTTGAAATTCATACATGATCATTGTATATGTTCAAATCTAGAATGTAGAATGGCAAATTTACTTACATGTGTCTTTTCTCTTTTTCAGTGGTTCAACGAGTAACCAAGGCTTAACTGGGTATGTTTCTAATACTAGTTTTGAAAGTTCTGGTATCTAGCAAAATTTGGTTGAAGACATCTTCACATTTGAGAACAATTAGATGTTGATTTTTACCTCCAGAGGTTTAGGATCTCAGACTTCCTGTTTTCCTTCTTTTAGTTACACGGATAAAATCCTGGCCACTCTGATGGCCACCAAGACTGAGCTGGCGGGAGACAAGTTTGAGTTGAAGGTGGATAACCTGCGGTTTGTGGGCCACCCCACCCTACTGCACCAGCTGTCATCATCCACAGACCTTTCCGTAAGCCTGCAGTTCTCTCAGACATTGCTAGGGGGAGGTTTGTAGTACAGTACCTAGACTGCCTCACTACTGATAGAAATTATGTGTACTAGTATAAATTACTTTGAGTTGAAGGTGGATAACCTGCGGTTCGTGGGCCACCCCACCCTACTGCACCAAATGTCATCATCTACAGATCTGTCCGTAAGGCTGCAGTTCTCTCAGACATTGCTAGGGGGAGTTTGTACTACAGTACCTATATATAGCCTGGTAGAGGCTAAATACTACTGTCTGACTGTTTCCCCAATATTTTTTTGTGTATCTTATTACTCAAATGGGGGCAGGCAAGCCCTTTTCCGTAGAGCGTAATCGGCCGTTTTAATTCTACATAGAGCGTAATTGGCGCATTTTGCGTTGAGCGTATTCGCTGTTTTAATTCTACGTAATGTGTTGTGGCCACTTAGAATTTATCGTAAAGCGTAATCGATAAGTTTCCGAATTCAGCGTAGAGCGTTGTCGGGACCCCCCCTTGCAGGCCCCCTCAAATGTCTATTAAGTAACCTTCAGTTACTGTAGTCCTGTTTGTGTGTTACAGAGATCAGATGGACCATCTCCGAGGAGAGAACCTTCCCCCATCATCCTCTTCAACATCGTGTTCGTCATACAGGTGGGTCTAACAGTCAATTCTTTTATCATTTCTATATTAGACTGATCCCTTACGGAAAGCTACTGTCAACAGTACTGACAATTACTGACATGCTACTGTAAGATTAGACAAGTTTTATCCCTTACTGTCAGCCGTAGAGCACGCCGGCAGAACGTACTGCACCCACGCGAAATCTGTAATGTATTGTACATACCAGGTAGCACTTCGGAAGAACGTCTCATATAAGGTTATATTCGTGCATATAAGGAAAACATCTCGTCTGTAGTTTCCAAAAGTTATGTCAAAATGTACATCCTCTGCAACAGGCAAACTTCTAATGCGACGTTGACCAAAAATCCACCAAACACCGTGAAAATACAGGGTTCTGCGCAGGCGCAGTACGTTCTGCCGACGTGCTCAGCCATAAGAGAATCATCACATGCTGTGTATGTATTTTTTATTGCAGGCCAACGTTAGCCCGTCTTTAAACCAGTACTACCACGACCTGAGTAAGAGACTGGCCCTAGCCATCAGACACGAGGAGTGGAGATGTGGATACCTCAACAGACAGGCACAGATCATGAGAGATGTACACGACGAGGTGTCGGCCATGCCTGAAGGTGGGGTCGGTTAATTAGATAACGCCCTTAGCCAATTAGAGCTTTGTTGCAAAAGTGGTGTATAATACAGACCTAACAATGATCAAAGTTGAGATGTGGCTACCTCAACAGACTAGCACAGATCATGAGAGACGTACACGATGAAGTGTCAGCTATGCCTGACGGTGTGGTCGGTTAATTCGTTAATGCCCTTAGCCAATTAGAGCTTTTGTTGCAAAAGTTGGTAGTTTAATACTGACCTAACAATGATCAGAGTTGAGTTGAGGTTACCTGAACAGACAAGCACAGATCATGAGAGACGTACATGACGAGGTGTCAGCCATGCCAGAAGGTGGGGTCGGTTAATATTAGATAACGCCCTCAGCCAATCAGAGCCTTAGGTTTCAAAAGTGGTAGTTTAATACTTACTGGCAGACCTGAAATGATCAAAGTTTAGTCATGGCTACCTCAACAGACAGGCACAGATCATGAGAGACGTACATGACGAAGTGTCAGCCATGCCTGAAGGTGGGGTCATTAATGTGTTAATGCCCTCAGCCAATCAGAGCTCCAAATTGGTGACTGTGCAATCAGAATCATGGAAGTTCATCTGTGTTTCCATCTGTGGTACGATACCAGTACTACATGTAAACTTTATTCTTAGTACACAAAGGGTACACATGTACAGGATCAAATTTTCAACAACCACTGATGCTTTCATCAGGATATATTATTATCAATGACTTACTGTTGTGAGTTAACATTCAGATTAAGTTCTTATGTACATGAACATCTTTTAGACAGAAAATTCTTTTTACAGACAGTGCCCCGGCATCCCCGTTCCAACACATGATCCCTCGATGTGACCTGGCCAGGGAACTTAGAGACGTGTACACAGGGTAAGACAACTTCTGTCTCACATGTAATGAGAATATTGAAGATGAATTTCACTTTGTTATGACATGTCCCACCTATAGAAAAGAAAGAGATTCATTGTTACAGACTATTACCACTAAGACAAAGTTCAACCAATCTAGTACACAGTACGATACATTCTATGAATTATTGTCATGTCCTACTACCATATCTGCTTACGTAGGTCAATTTCTGTACACCTTATTTTATAAGCGAGACCAAATCATCAATTCATGAACATATTGTGACTCATATACTGCATAGATAGTAGTTTGTAGTAAGAAATGTAATAAGATAGTTTAGTTTTTTAGTATTGTTGTATTACTGCCACACATTGTACCATGTACGATTGTCGAGCAATAAAGTTCATTCATTCATTCATTCATTCATGATCATGAGTGCATATTGTATATTGTTGGCCATGTTAGAAGGTTAAAGTTGGAAGTTGCCATGTGCATATTATTTTACACTGGTAAATTTTTAATTGACAAATTTTTAAAATTGTGTTGAACATACTTACACCGTTAGAGGGTCCTAGACCCCCCCCCCCCCAAAAAAAAATACATGCAAATACCCCCCAAAAAATTTTTATTTTGGAAGAATGTAATTTTTACATGAATATGAAAAATATTTTTATTGTCATACTGAGTATATAAAAATTATATGATATTTTTATTGTCATACTGTAAAAATTTTTGGCACTTTTTTGTTCCAGGTTGTGTGATCTAGGTATTGTCAACATCAGAATTAACAGTTGGATTCTGGTCAGTTTTTGTTTACCTCACAAAGTACACAACAACAACGTAGACGCAACCAAAATTGAGGTAAGTAGGAATCATTTTATTTCCATCTTGATCAATATTTGCTGTCCACTATATTTTGTATTAATTTAAGGATAGAAATATATGCACACAAAAAAAGACATGCAGCCAGCTTCAACTTCTGAAATTTTTTGACTGTGCTTCATGGGCAGAACGAATGGGAATACTGTAAAAAAGTTTAGAATTATATTCTAAAAACTCTTGTAATGTGATATTTAGGGACACCTCTAGTACTGTGCAGAATTATTGGCACATGAAGAATACTTTTTAATATCTAGTAAACCAAGTGTTGACAGGATATTTCTTAATCTGAAGTTCTTTTTCTTCATTTCCACCCAGCCAGAGGCAGTAGAAAGATGTATATCTGCTATCAGGTAATCACTATCATGACAACTGTACATATTACATTTTATTAGTTTAGAATATGTATTTAAGGAAAAACATTAATATCAAATGTTATGCTGTAATATTTTGTTTGTAGCTCATAGGAAAATGACCACAGATGATTTTTAGCAAGATTTGAAAGCATTCTTCATCATTGACATCTGTTGGCTGTGTAGATCGTTTTAGCCAACTATTATAGGCATTTTGTCAATCCTTACTTCACTCAGGTGTAAATGAGTACCTAGCTTCGGTTAGGGAGTCCCTCGAATAGGACGTTAAATGGAGGTCCCGGACGTTAAAGAACCCACGTTAAAGACAACGCCAGCAACAGCTGCCTGTGTATTGCACTGTTGCAATTTCAATAAATCAAATCAAATCAAATTAAACTGAAGACAAATTTTTGATAGATATCCATTACCTTCCTTGTTTCAGACCGTACCACGCGATGCTGCTATTGGTAGATAGAGACGTGCTGCTGGAGGAGCTACCACAGGACTGTTCCCCTGCGCTGACCAGACTCATCAGAATAGCCACACCTCTCAAAAGTCTGCAGTGTCTGTCTCAAGACTCAGATCTCGCTTTGTCACAGGTAGGTGCCCAAAATCAGGAAAGATTCACATGGTGTACTTATACATTTTGTATATAATTGTCCAGATTATGAAGCAAGTTTAAACTGTAATATCCAACACAATAAATTGGACTCACCCAAATGTTTTTCACGTGACGTTACGGAAGCGGTGGATTGCTTATTCCTTGACAAAGACTGGAGTTGCACAGTCGAAAATTTGGGTGAGTTCAATTTATTGTGTTGGATATTAAAGTTTAAACTTGCTTCATAATGATTTCTACCAATACAGATGAACTTAGATTGTTAGTCTCAATAGATAATGTTCTCCTAAAAAGGACGCCATGCTTTTTAAAATTTAAGTGTCTAACCTTCCTGTAGTTACTGTGGTATTTTGATTCCCAATGGAAACCCTAGTTTGCACTCACTCACTCACTGTCCGGTTTATCGTCTGTTGCTCCCCGTCTTCCGAGGGTTAGACATGCTTGCACTGTACATCTGGGGCTTGATGGCAGCACGCCACTTGTCTCTGTCCTGTGGGTTGATCTTGTCTAAGTTCAGGTGGTGGAGGTCCTCCTTTATGTTGTCAAACCATTTCCTCCTAGGGCGGCCACGGGGGTTTGGACCCTCCACATCTAGTATCATTTGCAGTATGATTAATTCCTGTTGATGGTTAGGTCCCCTCAGGTGGTTACCTCATATGATCCACCTAAATTGTCTTTCTATAATATAGGATGTTGATTTTCCTTTAATTCGTGTAGGTTGTTACCCCTGAGCCACCTAATCGCTTTTTTAGAGCTTGTTAGATTTTCTGTTAGGTTCTGAAATGCCCCATGCTCTCCAAGGTCCAATACATGTACCTTACTGTTTCTTGTATTCCATTACCTGATTATCTAACCTTCATTGATGTAGTTGTTGTTTTTGTTTTACAGATTTTTCAGCTAGTGAGCCACCTGGTATACTGGGGAAAAGCTACCATTATCTACCCTCTGGCAGAAAGTAACGTCTACACACTATCTCCTAATGCAAAAACTTCTGTGTAAGTACATACATGTCTTTTTTTTTCAAACACGCAGTCGTCCCTCAGTAAGACACGTACCTGGAGCCACATAGTTTCCGTTTAGAACCTTTATTCAGCCTGTCACACAAGCAAAACTAGTCGTGTGACAGGCTGAATAAAAGTTCTAAACAGGAACTATGCTGGAACTCCAGATGTCTTACTGAGGGACGACTGCGTGTGTGAGATGTTGGTTAGCTTGAGGAGTGAATCCCCTCTACTATATACATTTGAACATTATCATATTTTTGCACATGTTGTATTGGTCTGGAGCAGTCATATGGCTGCATAACTAAACATAAATATAAAATACAATTGATTGATTGATTGATTGATTGATTGATTGATTGATTGATTGATTGATTGGTTGATTGATTGATTGATTGATTGATTGATTGATTGATTGATTGATTGATTGATTGATTGATTGATAACATGTACCCCGCAGGAATTCCCTCCTGTGTACGAAATTTCTGGAGCAGTAATATAGAATATGATTGATTGATTGATCAATTGATTGGTTAATTAATTGATTGATTAATTGGTTGTACCCTGCAGGAATTCCCTCCTGTGTGAGAAGTTTCTGGAGCAGTTCCCGGGGGTGTGTCTGCCCGCAATCATGGCTGACTTCTCCCTCCCCCTGCCCCTGGGGGAACACAGGAACCCCCTGGGCCTCCCACAGCAACAGGTCAGTCACACATTAGCGTGCGTAGTCCAGTGGTTAGCAATCCTGCCTCTGGGCTACTGTTTAGGGTCGCAGTCCCTAGGATGGGACATCAAGCCATGCTCCACTGTTCATTGTGCTTGTCGAAAAGAGCTACAGGAATTTCCCCGGTACAATGAACCTGTACATACTGTACATAGCGTCTGTCTTCTCTGTCGCGACCAGTGGAAGATTAGCTCTTCAATGAGCTGAACTGGTTCAAGATCACTTTCACTTTTCACATCACTCTCTCCCATTACGCTCTACGATAAATTCTGGGTAGCTACAACGCATTACATAAAATAAAATGGCGAATTACACTCTACGCAAAATGTGCCAACGGCATGTGGGCAGATGACGTGGGGGCTACTCAATGCATCAGGGACCTTGCAAGTCAAGTTTTGAACCAGGTCACTTACTCAGTGATTACTAGCTAGACATTACATGTACATGTATGTCACTGGAAACAGTCACAGTTTGATGAGGCCATGAGGGTCATTGACCCTTTAGTATATAATGTATGTTCTCAGATACTTGACGATGTATGATGCAAATGGGCAAGAATTTCACTCTGTCTCTGTCCTTCTTCTGTCCTGTTCTTGTGCCGCGTCCCAGGGCATCCTTCGGCTCAGCACACACGGCGTTGCCTCCCCTCAGGTCTCTCTTCTGTCTCTTACTGTGCATGTTATGTGCATGCCATTGTTACAAACTATATATGTAGCATGTACTGCACCAGTGCAAAACCTAGCCTCCTTCGCAGACTTGTAAGGCAGTGGCGTTTTTTGGTAAATTATGCAAGTTATTCGGCAGAGGGACGGTTTTGCCGCCAAGGGAGCTTTGCTGGGGAGAGAACGGTTTTGCCCACAACTGGTCTCTCCTAGGCAAAACTCCTGTGGCGGCCAATTACGTAACTGTCCCCAGTGTTGTCAGTCGATATTGTGAGCATGTATGCATGTTTTTTTTAATGATTATTGTGCCCTGTGTGTAGAAACATGTAGTTTGTTGTATCCTCTGCAGGCCCAGTTAGTCCAGATGGTGGTGTGGATGTTACAGCACAGACTGCTGGTGCAGGTATACAAATTTTTAGATGAAAGTTTGTAGTTACATGCTTCTTAAAGTTTTTGAATGTAACAAGCAACTTTGTTTCATTAAAAATTTAAAATCTATGGTTTTAATTGTAAACCAGCCCAGTATGTTGACTTCATGGCTCATATCGTAACATTTCCAGCCTTCATGGGGGTGCCTTGGCCTGTTTTTTATTTTTGTTATTTCGCATGCACTGCCACTTCATTTTTTTCTGAAAAAATCAGAGAAACAACAAATTAAATTGGTGTGGCCTAACGCTGAGACTTTGTAACACAGCTTCACACGTACATCTACCTGATGTCGACTGAACCTGAAACAGCCGGCCCGGGCGTGGTGAGAAGTCAGGCGTCACCTCTGCTTCTGGTACCAGACGACGCAGCTCGGAACAGGACCATCAGTGGGGGCAGCGGGGAGGCAGTCAGTCTGGGGTCTCCAGGTTTGTTTGTTTAGGATCTCAATCAATCAACCGCAGGCATCAGTAGAGTTGCATAGCGGCTGTAGACATGTCCCTCCAGGATGTTCTGTTTTCAGCCAGCGCTCTCCAGTCAGTTCTGCTGACCCCTAGTGTGTCCAGTGCATTGAAGACTTGGTCCTCCCATCTGCTCCTGGGGCGGCCTCTAGTGTGAATTTTCACACTATTCATCCTAATTCATCCATTTTCACCTGAGTGAAGTGAGGAAAGTCGTGTAAAGTGCCTTTCCCAAGGACAAAAGGTTGGTGCTGGGCAGGATTCAAACCCAAGACCTCTTGGTTCTGAGCCGAATGCTCTGCCATTACGCCACATGACCCCACACATTTTTTGGCAACACCTTTGGGATACATGACGCAAACTGACAGTTTTTAGGGAAATATTTTTCATACACATTATTAGTGAAAGTGAAAGTGATCTCAAACCAGTTCAGCTCATTGAAGAGCTAATCTCCCACTGGTCATGACAGAGAAGACAGACACAATGTACAGTATTTACAGGTTCATTGTACCGGGGAAATTCCTCTAGCTCTTTTTGACAAGCACAATGAACCACGGCTTAATGTCCCGTCCTAAGGACTGCGATCCTAAACAGTAGCATGCATGTCGGGTGAGTGACAACAGCCGGATCGCTAACCACTGGACTACGCACGCTACTGATTAGTAATGTGAACTTTTGAAATATTTTGCAGATGGAGGTGAGCTCGAGTTGAGCTCCAGTGTGGAGACGTACTCCACCTACTCCACAGAGATGGGAAGTGACGGGATGCTCATCACCAAGGACGCCCGTCTGCAGAGGAAACTGACAGAGAGCCTGCTGTCCGACCTGACCGAGGGAGAAAGGCTCAGCGTGCTCAAGGTTCCCGCCGCATCAAACCCAGAGGATCTCAGGCTATTTGCAAGGTACAGTTTTTTAACACGAGATGAGGCTGCAACAATTTCATTTCGTGTATTTAGGCCATGCTTGGAAAGGAAAGTTTGGAAGGAAATTTCTTTATGAAATAAGAAACTTTTCTTCCAACTCTGGAATGAATTGGGACTTGAATGACCCCTTCAACCTTCAAGTTCACGGAATAAACTTGTCTACTCTTGGAACGTGGCATTAGAGACACGTAACTGTAGTAGCGGGTCATATGTGCCAGATAACTTCTGTCGCCCCCCGTCTCTGTTTAGGGTAGGTCTGTGAGCTCTAATGTAGACTGCTTCCTTCACTCTTCTTGCAAAGAAGTCTAGTTCAGAATCAAGGAACAGTAAAAGTTTCTAGATATAGGAGTTCTCTTGTACACAACCAAAATTTCTCACCTAAATGCTAACGTTTCGGTGTCTGTCAGCGCTTCTGACTGGAGTTGAAGAAGTAAAAGTTTCTTTTTCATATAATTTCAGACTGGTGTGGTACTTCTGTGGGGAGCACCACTTGTGATTTTCCATTTATTTTTACAGACACGCCCACCCAAAACAATGCCTCCTTTTTCACAGACTTTGAGGTAAAGTGTGGAAGGTATCTTGTAACTGGAGTGTTGTTTTTCTTTATTTGCAGACTGGTGTGGCATAAAAGTGTGCTAGGAACATAACAGCATCTTGGAACTTTTTTTTTGTATAATTTCAGACTGGTGTGGTATTTCCGTGGGGAGCACCACCTGGAGGAGATCATGTACTACGAGAACCTGCGGAGGTCACAGCTGCTGACCCTGCTGGACAAGTTCCGGGAGGTGCTAATCACCTGCCAACATGAGGACGCCGCAGCAGCCGTCTTTCACACCAAGCAGTACTGATGAAATTATCTTGAAAGTTCATCTGTGTTGGTAGAAGTCATTGTGCTGCAAGATTAAACTGTAATGTCCAACACAATAAATTGGACTCACCCAAATTTTTGACTGTACAACTCCAGTCTTTGTCTGAATGAACAATCCACCACTTCTGTGACGTCACGCAGATAACACACGTGACTCCGTGAGCAGTGGATCATAGGTTGCAGAAAGTCTGTGGCGCCCCCCGTCTCTGTTGAGGGATGGTTGTAATGCCCTGCAGTACTGATGAAGTGCAAGCCAGTTTAGCTCATTGAAGAGCTTACATCTTCCACTGGTCGTGACAGAGAAGACAGACGCTATGTACAGTATTTACAGGTTCATTGTACCGGGGAAATTCCCCTAGCTCTTTTTGACAAGCACAATGAACAGTGAACTACAGCTTAACGCCCAATCCTAAGGTCTGCGATCCTAAACAGTACTGTGCATGTCGGGGAGCGACAACAGCCAGGAATCAAACTCCCATCCTCTTAGTCCAGAGGCAGGATCGCTAATCACTGGACTATGCACGCTACTACACGCTGAACCCACCAAGCAGTACTGAACCCACAATCAGTGGCGTTTCCCAATACCAGTGGAGTCGACAGTTCTGCGAAATTCTGTGGGACATCCCGCAATCTCCCACAGGACGTCCCGTAAAATGTGATGCATATTTCGTGGCTTGTGCTGTACATATTTACACATATTTGTGGAACTGTATCTACATTGCGGTCCCAAACGTACGGAGTTGGATATATACATAATTGTGCTGCAGTGCAATGTGAACCAGTCAGAATTGCCCTGAGAAAAGTCACAGAATACAAGACTTGGTTGTGTAGTCTCTTTCTTTACTCAGTGACTTACAAATCTGATGAAACTATTCACAGATTCGAAGCAGTGCAGCACTAGACTTATACCTGCATGTTATGTATAGTACTAGACTAGTACTATTTTGTAGCAATACCTAATGTTTAGCTGTACATTGAAGAAACGCTTTGCATTCAAGAAAAAAAAAAGACACACAGAAAAGGGAAGCAGTGGCATATTTTAATTGATCTTCATCGTCCCAATATAAACTGTAATATCACATATCGCCATAGACAGAAGTCATTGATATACACGTAGAGCACACAAGTGTCATCAACAGAGTGACATACATGTACGTTTCATTACTTAACATTAAGTACCACATAAAATCTATATCTGAACCCGTTTCAGCTATATTCAATATGGAGTTCTTTTATTGTGCTTTCTTTGTGGCTGGATTCTTTTCAAACTAAGTTAAAATTTCTGGATGTATTCAACAAACTTGAATAACATTTTTGATGGCATTTAAATGTGGGCAATTATATTGATTTAAGTTGTTTAACTGCAGTTCCGAAACTCCATCATTCTTCAAAACAACAAAATAAAATTATAGAACAGTTATGAGATCCAGCCACAAGAAAACTCCAAAACTCAACAATACAATCATGCTACTGCGATATTTCAAAAGCTAAAACAGCATAGCATAGCATACATTTTTTTCTTCCAAATTTCAACTCTCTAGACATTAAATACACAGCTGGTAATGTTTACACACAAGTTCTCCATACATAATACAGTTTACTGAAAATAATTACCAACATTTTTTGTCGTTTTTCTCTTTTTCATTCCCATATACCATTAAACTGTGCACAACATGAAAATAGATGAAACAAGATGGCCGCCTCCAAAACAAGATGGCCGCCTCCATGGATGGTGGGCTAAAACAGAACAAGTTTTTTTTTTCACAGGCAAACCTGTAACTAACTGGGACCATCCACAGCATAATAGTGGGTACAAAGTGACAGTATATTAGACATGGATTCAACTCAATAACTGTAAAACAAGGACCATACAACCTGTATGTGTATAACAAGCTATCGAATACACAGTACACAGCCATTGAACAACAAAAATTGTGGCTAACTGCATGTAACGTGTACATTTGGAATGTCCCTCACTCTACAATCACAGCCAGTTTGTATTTGCTCTATTTCTTACAGTTTTCGGCCTGTCTCATTCAATGTGCGGGGGTGTCCTTAATGCTGTACAGCACGCACCAGTGTCTAGTTAAGAATTCCAATACACTCTTGACAGTCTTATTTTCTTAACGGACCTTTTTCTTAGATAAACGAAAAGTTGTGTGACCAAGAATCATGGGCAAGACTGAAACAAGGGCTTTCAAAAACAATTTCATCAGATTGGTTGAACATAGGATGTAGGGATTTTCTTCTTACACAACCAGTAGTGTTTGTTTCGTTTCGATGCCTCTAGTCAGAAGCTCTGAAGATGTCTGACAGGCATCGAAATGTAAGATGTCAGCCTATAGCATCGAGCTCTTGCTAGCATTTCAGGCCAATATCCACATGTCAAAATAATGATCCTTTTTTCACAAAAAACATATAATGCAATGGGGCAAGCGATCAAAAGAGTACACTGAAGTCAGACTTGGGTCGATTCGAGGAGCCACCAATATACATGTGTACCAAACTACACATACAAAAGGACTAAAGGAACTGGAGCAATGGATACATCTACTAGCTCGGATTTACCATCAACTCCTAAAACACATAAGCACAACATTATAGGATTGTTTTCTTCTTGCCACGACAGCCACGTAATCAATCCAGCATTCATATAACATTTCTGACATAACTTATACAGTACATTCTATAGTTTGAAAACTGCAAACGCATTACCTTAGTTACATTGTACAAGAGGATTACCAACATTATACACACATATTTCACATAAGGGCAAGGCCTAATCATGGTTTTTGTTTGTCAGCGAGACGTTATAGAGTTTTATTGCAAGTTTCTACATTTTGTATCAGATTTCTCTCTCTCTAATATGTTTATGTTTAAATGGCTATCACCTTCTTATAAGCTGTTTCAGAGTTTAAACTGTATATGTGGGAGGTCAAGAGCAAGAAGGCCCCTAATTTGTTGACAGTTGTTCTCTATCATGCTTGCTTGGTACAACGTACCATGATCAGACGTGTTTTTTTTTTATCTCAGGGGGCCTTAGTCTTATTTTCTACAACGCATCACTCCACAAATGCACAGCTCAAACCATGTAGCAGCTTATTTTAACTGTTCCCTAATAAAAGTGTTGGGATCCCATCTAGCCAGCTTAAAATTGTACAACCACAAAATTTCTCTTGGATTTTTTTTCTTACAGTTTCTGCAAAACATAAATCTTCAGTTTTTCTGCAGTTAGACTTTTTTCAACCCCTCAAAGTTTTATCCGGGAATTCTCATGCAGGGTGGAGCGATTACACTAAGTCTAACTTCACTGTAGAAAGATGGCTGTTTGAAGCTCTGCAGGCCATGCTAGTCTGAAATCTGGTTCAAAAGTGCTCAACCTTCATTCACTGATGAACAGTGCAAGCATTAAAATAAGTAGACCAGTTATTGTCTGCATTTAAAAAACAAACACATAGGCTCCGCTCATGAGATGTTGCCCCCCCAAAAAAAGCGACATGTGCCATTGTGAGCATTAGAGAAAGTTTATCTCTTTAGCAAAAAATGACGAGTTAAAAAAAAGCAAAACTGTGACTGTGAAAGCAAAGGTTGGCCAGGAGTGTCTCAGACAAAGAGGTAGTCTTCTATATGGAGGTACATATTATCAAAGCATGTCAGCAGAACATAATGCGCCTGTGATAAACCTGCAATGTATTGTGTACAGCACTTCAGCAGAACATCTTGTATAAGGTTACATAGTATTCGCATATTTAAGGATGACATCTTGTCTATACATGTAGTTTTCAAGTGTTGTGTTGGAAAAGATATCGTCCGTAACAGGCAAAATTAAGATGCACCGTTGACCAAACAAGCAACAAAAACGGTGAGCAACCTGCTTTCACACAAGTGCAGTACGTTCTGCTGACCAACTACATATAGGTACATACATGTAACTGTAGTGATATTCTGAGTTTTGTAGAGTGCATGAGGTAGCCTATAGCTACATGTAACCCTCGGTGGCTGATAGTGTTCAAGCATTATTATCTGTCTGGAAAACGTACGTGTATGTGTTGTGAGGTATGTAAGCGTAGGTACTCTGGACACACGATACAACAGACAACCTAAGGTTGAGATACAATAAGATTGACCTAGTGACGAACACAGCTGTCCAAAACCTGCAAATGAGTAGATTTGTATGCCTGACTACCGTAACAGAACAAGAAACCAAACAACAAGACACGACTCCTTCATGTTAGCAAATAAAGATGATGAGTGTTGACAGGTTGTACCTATGTGCTTCAGAGACAAGACTTAGTGCGCTCAAAGTTCCTGGTTAAGCCAAAACAAGATACTTTCCAAAATTTCTTTGCCATTGCCCGTGCATGCCAGACTTTCATGTTTTTACACAGCATGTTAACTGAGATATAACTGAGATAAAACTGCTTTTTCTTTGCCTTTCTGGCATCCCTTTTTTTACAGCCAAATCCAGACAACAACAGCCACCCAGGTCTAGATGTTTGAGCTTGGAAGAGTACGAACTAGTCATAATATCGAAAGAGGTGTACTGTTTTATAATACCCAGTCTTGCATCTAAAATGTTGATAACCTCACATTTTTAGGCCCCTGCACACTTTTCTTGTCTAATATACAAAGTTGTTGCTGACTTACTCAAGCAGCAACGTTCCTAAAAAGCTGACAGCCATTTTTGCCACGTATTGCTCTGCTGGGATGAATTACCCAAGCACTTTTAGTGGTAGAACAACATACTTTTATTTCCTTTAGATTTAAGCATTGCTTCTAGTTTCTTTTACCAATTAACAGGCCAGTGGACCTCTCTAAAAGCTAGCCTCCATAGCATGCCAAAAACTTGGGGTTTTGGGGTCTTCAGGGCCTTTTGGATCTTTTTTGTGCTATTTTCTGAATGCATATAGACAACATAGCCGGCCTGGTTGAATTACCTCCGTTTTTAGAACTGAGCAAATCAGAAAACAGCCGAAGACCACCAAACCCCCAGTTCTATAAGCCTGCTACGGAGGCTATCTAAAAGCCAGGTTAGCGCTCAGTGCTAGAATGGGCATCCCTGTTAAATGTACATGTAGGTGTAGTTGTAGTAGGAATGGAAGTTCTCTGCATAACGTACATTTCTGTATTGCGAGGGAACGAATGGACGGGCAAGACCAAAGTTGTTATCTCTTTTCGTCGTCGTGGTTGATTTCGGGGTAAGCAGCTCTTCGGACCTCGTCGATCTTTTTGCACCACTGGAGCGCGTAGCCGTCTGGGTCCTCTAGGTAGTACGTTCGGTTAGGCTGTGGGCGGAAACATATTACTATTCACTAAAAGAAGAGAATTTGCAGGCAAATGCCAAATGTTTCCCTCCCTTTACCACTGGAGTGCGTTGCTGTCCAGTGGTAAAGTTAGGCTGTGGGTGGAAACATTATTGTTCACTAAAAAAACAGGGCATTTGCTGCAGGCAAATATTTCCTTCCCTTTAGAAAAAAAAATGTTTCCTTTTTAAGGGCTGCAAATATAGATTGTTTCTCTTCATACTGTGGTGTTGTGAAATGTTTTACAGTCACTATCATGATGGCTTTCTGAAAGTTTGTATACAGTACACTCACTCAATCATGTAATAACAATATAGTCAAATAATATTGGTATTGACGCCTGGTAGTGACAATCTGTATGATTATTGGTACTGGCACCTTGTAGTGACAAAATAAATATCACAATGACATTGTTAACCTACCTAACAAGATCTGTTTACATTGAAAAAAAATGATGTCTTAAGTATCACACTCACCGTGTGGACAAAGTAAGTCTTGAAATTTTTGGCTTCTGGTCTCAACTCAGGTGACCTGGGAGTGCGAGAATATTGTAATTTAAAACTTTTTTTCTCACAGATACATGTACAATACTTTTTGTTACTTTGAGGTCAGATTTTAGTGGATGCTACCTGAAACGTCTGACCATTTCCAAAATCATATCCAGTTGCTTGAGTAACTTCTTTTTGGCGTATCTTAATTTATTACCTGGATGTCTAACCTTCATATACAAGTTAACTGTATGTTTAGAAGTTTTTCCTTACCAAGGTATCTCTCCCTTCAGCACCATGTTAACAGGATCTACATAGTACAGGTGTGGCCCTTCTGTCAGGAGTAGTTGTCTTCTTCTCGCAAACAGACCCTAGAAAAACATCAAAACACAACTCAGTCAACAATGCCTAACATACTTTGACACTTTAGCTAGCATACAAAACAGTTCATAAGCTACATGTTTAATACAAAACAGTTGTACTGTTGTACAAACCAGTCATTAATTTTAAACAAAATGGATATTAAATGAATTTTACCTTTCTCTTGTCTGTGAGGCCCATCTTCAAGATGATATTACCCTCTACAAAATGGTGCCTGAACAACAAAAATATATCATTATGAGTGCCACTTCAATCCACAAAAAGGAGCTTTCTTCAAATGTATGAAGAATATATGCCAGCTGATATATATTATGCATTTTGAGTTGATTCAGTGCAACAAACAAAGAAATGTTTGGAGTCACCCACCACTTGTTTTCTCGTCTTTGTTTCTGCACGATCCTCTGCCTCTCTTCGTTATCTATGTTGAGTTCTAGTCTGTTGTTGTGCGGCAGGATGCGATACTTCGGCTTCACCACCTTTGGCGTGTTTTCTGCGCTGCTTTTTCTCTCCTGAACGACGTTCTCCATGGCCGATGCTTCCTTCTGTTTCAGCTCGGACGAGATCTCGAGTCCGTGGAGGTCACAGAATATTGACATGTCATCCAGTCGCTTGTCAAACTCCTTGGCACTCTGTAGTATGGAGGGGAGTACATGTGTTAAAAATGCCACCTGGCAGAAAGTTTAAGAACTGCAGGGGGTTTGTTTGTGCTCGGACGAGATCTCGAGCCCGTGGAGGTCACAGAATATTGACATGTCATCCAGCCGCTTGTCAAACTCCTTGGCACTCTGTAGTATGGAGGGGAGTAAATGTGTTAAAAATGCCACCTGGTAGAATGTTTAACTTTAAGAACTGCAACAAACATATAAAATATCAGGCAATGCAAAGCAAATGCAGTTCAATGTTTACCTTCACACATGGTCTAGCCTTAAAAAGCACTGCTCTGTTTATTCTTACTCAAACACATTCCTGACCAAGTAACCCATCCCTTGCTACATCATGTAACCCAACACCACAGGCTGTCTGCTACAACACTAGTTACCATGGTGACAGCTGTCTGGTCCAGGTCATTGACCTTATGAGCAAAACAGTATGTTTTCCTTCTGCAAAGGTAAACATAAAAATAAAGAGACTTACGACAAAGTCACTGCGCAGGTCCTGTGCGTCTGGGGAGTTAGCTGGCAGGTAGGGGAGCAGTCGAGGGGGGGTCCGGTGGGGCAGGGTGTCCCACTCTATCCCCTCCACAAACAGGTGGCCCTTCAGGCTGGGGTAGCCGCCTCGCTCCTCGCAACCCAGCCGCTCTGTCGGCTCCAAAATCTGGTACAAAACATTTCATTTCATTTATTACTAAATAGGGCTGGAAATACTGGGTGCATGTGCACCTTAGTGCACCCAAATGTGCAGCTGTGTACCAAAATTTTTTCAGTTAATTGGTGTGCCTGGTAAGTGCACTCAAATATTTTTTGTAGGTTTACGTATGTAAATGATGTTAGTACGTTCGGAAATGCATAGTCAACAGTAAAAACTAGCTTAAGTGCACTGTGAACCAAGTACATTGTAACAGTGCACTGTGAACCATGTAACACCTTTAGTGCACTATGCACCAAGTAACATCTAGTGTCAGTGCACAGTAAACCAGTCAGAATTGCCCTGATGAAGATGACAGACGGTCATCAAAACGTCGGCTTGTAAAAAGAAATGCTTGTGATCAAAGAACTTTGCTATTCATTCGTTTACCAACCTGATGAAATTATTTACGGACTTACCAGTAGCTTTTTCACCAAGTCTTGAGCCTTAGAGTTGAAGCCATCAGGAAAGTCATACTCTAGCTTCTGAATCTTTTGGAATATTAGGTACTCATTCCTGTAAAAAAATGACATGACAAAAATGTAAAAAATGACCTCCACAATAAGTAAAAATTAAAAAAGTAGCTCATTGAGTATAGAGACTCTTTTTACACAACCAAGTCTTTTATTCAGCTGACGTCTCTTTACTCAGTGACTTACCAACCTGATGAAAGTATTCACAGAAAGTAGCTCACTGGTTGAAGTTTGTTACCTGTAAATTTACTTAATTCTATAGCAAAAATATATAATACATTTATTAGCTTTCTGAGATGTACTTCCATTGTGCCACAGGTAATAATGTACTAGTACTAACATACGACAGTACCTTAAACTCTAAAGATGATAGTTTCTTAAATGACTGATAAAATTTCTTTCTTAAAACACAGTAGCCTTACCCAGCGCGAAATGGTGGCAGCCCTGACACCATCTGGTAGATAATACAGCCCAATGCCCACAGGTCTGAGCTGTAAAGGGGAACATACACAATCAATGAAACAAGGCAATATACAGTACTTTGAAGATATTTTGAAGTGGAAAAATAGGGTCAACTATTGGGGTGGTCTTACAACAATTGACAACAGTAGGCAATAGACAACACTAGGCCAAAACAGGAGCTTGCCTTTTACACCAATAAAGTACTAAACTTTTCATACAAAAGAAAGGTTCCTATTCTGAGGTGTTACCAAAAAATCAGGACAATTTCTACTTGATCACCCTAGACAGAGAAAGAAGCTTAAACCTTTCTAAAGCAACTTTACACTAATCAAGACTTAGTACTTTAATACAAAAAAGGCTCCTATTCTGTTACAAAAAAATCAGGGCAAGTTCTACTTGACTTAACCCTAGACGAAGAACGAAGCTTACCTTCTACAAGCAGCTTTTATACTTTTTTTACAATCTAAAATTTGGATACACAAAAGGCTCTACTCCTGAACAGTTGCCAAAAATCAGCATAACCATACATGTAGGCAGAGGAAGAGGCTTACCTTTTGCAAGCAGCTTTGTTTGTGAGCAGCTCAGGCGAAACATACTGTGCAGTTCCTACAAAAGAGTTGGCCCGCGCTGTGGGTAGGAATGAAAATAGGTTTATAAAATGTGCATTTCTTGGATCATTCAGTCATGGATATTAAAGTTGTATTCTGGCAGTTCTATGTAAAACTTTTCAACTGATATAAACAAATTAAGAACTCAGTTTCAGACTTCCAGCAAGCACTTTGGGCTTTCATTACCTTCTAGTTTACAGAAGAACAGAGCAAAAACAATATGTTTTCCTTCTACAAAGGTAAACATAATAAATTTACATGTACATGTACTTTTCTTTTACACAACCAAGATTTCTCACCTAAGTGCTGACGTTTCAGTGAGAAATCTTGTGTAAAAGAAAACTACTGTAACCTATACTTTACCAACCTGACAAAACTATTTTCGGATATAAATTAAAGATTGTCAACTCCCTTACCTTGGTTGTTACCAGGGTCTAGAATCTTAGCTGTTCCAAAGTCTGTGATCTGAATGTGCATGTGCTCATCCAGCAAGATGTTCTCTGGTTTCAAGTCCCTATACACAAAAAAATGTAACTCATAAGTCTTGTGCAAGTGTATGCATAGAATATGGAAATCATCTCATGACAAGAAATGGTGGATTTTTAGAATGCAGGGAACTAGGGAGAAATGGTGATGGAATCATCCAGTTTGCCATTAATTTCGACAGCATGACTTTGTGTAATGAATGTCTTTGGGTCAACAGGGCAGTATATTGTAAAACGGATGAAATTTCGCTGCAGTTTTCTGTAAAGGAAGACCACTGGTCTTGTCTAAGAAGACCATGGTCCCTGGGTGGTTGTCTCAGACAAGTTTAACCATTACTGTATCTTTTTTTTTTTATTGGTGACATTTGCTGTGCCCAAGACCCACAGGACATAGGCAAATGGCAAGCTGTCATCAAGCCCCAGGATCAGTGTGCAAGCACCTCAAACCCTCGGAACATGGGGAACAACAGACACTAAACCGGATACAGAGAGAGAGAGATTCCCCAAGGTTGGAGCCATTTCTGTTTTTTTTTTTTTAAAGTAAATGGTGATTTACATCATTCACCCGGATGGAGGCCTGGCGAACCCTGTCTGTATGAGCCAAAATCTTGGAGAGGAGATAGGCGCCATCAAGATTATAAGCCTACAGAAACATCATGGCGCAAGTCCAGACATGCTGCTGGCTGCCATGATGCCCCTACGACTGCTCACGGTTATGGCTCTTACAAAGTTACATACATACATACATACAAAAGCTACCAGTCTAATCATAACCACCTGTGAATGATCCCCAGTCCGTGCAGATGTTCCAAAGCCAGGATAATTTCAGCCGTGTAAAATCTGGTGCACTCCTCATCGAAGGAACTACACTGTGTCTTAACATTACAAACTTCTACTCTAGGGTTGGATCCATTTTCTACATGCATTTCTGTAAAAGCTACAAGCCTAATTATAACCACCTGTGAATGATGCCCAGTCCATGCAGATGCTCCAATGCCAGGATGATTTCAGCCGTGTAAAATCTGGTGCACTCCTCGTCGAAGGAGCTACACTGTGTCCTAACATTACAAACTTCTACTCTAGGGTTGGAGCCATTTTCTACATGAATTTCTGTAAAAGCTGCAAGTCAAATTATAACCACCTGTGAATGATGCCCAGTCCGTGCAGATGTTCCAGAGCCAGGATGATTTCAGCTGTGTAAAATCTGGTGCACTCCTCGTCAAAGGAACTACAGCGTGTCTTAACATTACAAACGTCTACTCTAGGGTTGGATCCATTTTCTACATGTATTTCTGTAAAAGCTACAAGCCAAATTGTACTGACCTGTGAATTATCCCCAGTCCGTGCAGATGCTCCAGGGCCAGGATGATTTCAGCTGTGTAAAATCTGGTGCACTCCTCGTCGAAGGAACTACACTGTGTCTTAACATTACAAACTTCTACTCTAGGGTTGGATCCATTTTCTACATATATTTCTGTAAAAGCTACAAGTCAAATTATAATCACCTGTGATATGACCAAAATGGCTAAACGTTCAGGCCAACACTGTGTAAATTTTTGGTCGACTCTATCGGCCATGTTCGCGGTTATCTGGCACATACAACCCTCTGCTGTGTTTTCAACGTCACATCCCAGAAACTGCAGTAGAAGGGTAGAAGTCCCAATTTACTCAGTTTTGGCCTGAACATTTAGCCATTTTGGTCATAATGAAGTATACTAACACAGATGAACCTTCATGCTAATAATCACCTGTGAATGATGCCCAGTCCGTGCAGATGTTCCAGAGCCAGGATAATTTCAGCCGTGTAAAATCTGGTGCACTCCTCGTCAAAGGAACTACACTGTGTCCTAACATTACAAACTTCTACTCTAGGGTTGGAGCCATTCTCTACATGTACTTCTGTAAAAGCCACAAGCCAAATTATAACCACCTGTGGATGATCCCCAGTCCGTGCAGATGTTCCAGAGCCAGGATGATTTCAGCCGTGTAAAATCTGGTGCACTCCTCGTCAAAGGAACCCAGCTTCTGGATATACGGCAACAGCTCACCGTTCTTGGCATAACTTAGACCAAAATCTGTGTTTAGATTGTTAAGGAGCATCTGGGAATGCTCAATATGTAACAGCAGAGTAGTGGAACTCGCTGTCACCAAGTACAGTATACGTAGGGGCATTATCATTAGATAGCTTTAAATAATGTTTAGAGTTACACATTCAAGGGTTAGGTGTGAAAAGTCCTTCGGTGTAGCAAGCTGCTACGTGCCTGCAAAGCTGGTGTGTTATACTGGCTATACAGATACAGAAGCTGGTTTGTTATGCCAAACGGCGGTTATACCGGCTATACAGATACAGAAGCTGGTGTGTTATGCCAAAGGGCAGTTATATAGATACATATACAGATTCTTAAGAATAATCAAGTTGAAACAATTTTGTTTAATTTTGAATCAGCATTGTAGTTATATCAAGCCTGACTTGTGATAACTGAAGAAGGATACACAGCTTCTCAGTATCCTGGAAGGTGAAGTACAGCTTGACAAAGAAGGGATGATTGAGTCTGCTGAGGACGTCTTTCTCCCGCGTCACGTACGGAACCTTCTTTTCTCGGATGATGTGCCTCTTCTCCAGAATCTTAACTGGAACAAAAAAAGGACAAAAGTCAGCAACCTTACATTCTTTGATATTGTGTGTTACTAACTATTTGAGTATTTTTCCATATTTTTCCAAAATAATGTCTTTTACTCAAACTGTAACAACAATCAAATTATCTGCACCAGACAAATTTTACCTGTACCACTCAGAATTTAGGATTACACAGAAGACAGTTCATAAAAGACTGCCATTAATTCTTAACTGATACTTTAGAGACAGTAAGAGCAAATAAAATCCATATACACCTATAAAAATAAAGACTATACAGTACTTACTTGCATATTCCTTTCCTGTATTGACATCCTTTGCCAAAACAACCTGAAACATCAAAGACATATAATATTACTCTCCCAGTAGCAAAGTAAAACAATTTCCTAAAGAAAAAAAACATGGTACAAAACCAGTTCTGAAAATAGAAGGCATTGTGTTTGTTTTTTCTACATAAAAGATACATGTGAGGTAGTTCTGTGATGTTTGCAATTACAGTATACTTGAAAGACTGAATTTCTAATGCCATGGTGGCCTTTTCTTTCTGATACCCCAAGTTGGAACAATAGCTTTCAGATACATGCAGGCTTGATTGAATATACATTATTTTTATATACGCTGTTTGCATCCGATTTCAAAGTCAACATATATGCTGGTTGGCAAAACCTCGGGGAACAAGATCTACATTAATAGATAAATTTGCATGTCTTGTGTGTTTGTTTGCAAATGGCTATAAATACTAGAAACTTTAAAATGTTTTCATATTTTCACTGTGACCATTCAGGGCTCGAAAGACTTTTGTTCCTTTGTTTCTTTTCTGTTAATGTCCACGATCATGATAATGATCATTCTGGCACCCCACAACCCCACATTCTGGCACCACACAACCCCACTTGCACTACCCACACGAAAGAGGTATTTAGTGCTGCACAGGTGCAGCATTGGTGCTGCACATATCTGGCACTTTGAGCATTGATGCTGCATTGATCCAGTTCCCTGGGCAATTGGGCATTGATGCCGCACTGAGGTGTTGACCATTAATCATCATTTATCATTCTGGGCTCCCCATACTCTAGCAATGTATGATCTCCTTCCCCTGACTACAGCCAGTCACACCATATTACTCAGGCATCCAGGCTTTAATTACCGTGACAGGAAATGGCACCAATGCCCACAGGCCCCGCCCCCACCTTTCTGGTCTAGACCCTTGGTTATCCATTTTGTGTATATGAAGGGTCATGTAGGCCTTTGAAGACTAGAGTAGTAGTAGTTTACACCACTTTGAAATTGTGAAAAATAGGGCTATTTTGCTATTTTTGGACCAAAAATGTAAATTTTTGGCTCCTGTGCCCTAATATCAAATCCAAATGACCTGAAATTCAATACGAGGATACCTTGGACATATGTCCAAAGAATTTCATTCAAGCTTTAGACACACGCCACTTTGAAATTGTGTAAAATAGGGCTTTTTGGCTATTTTCTGACAAAAAATGTACATTTTTGACTCTTGTTCCCTAATGTTAAATCCAAATGACCTGAAATTTGTTATGGGGATACCTTGGACACATGTCCAAAGAATGTCATTCACGCTTTCGACATACACCACTTTAAAATTATGTAACATAGGGCTTTTTGGCTATTTTTGACCAATAATGTACATTTTTAGCACCTACATGTATGACCTAATATTAAAACCAAACTATGCTGTCAGGTGATGACTCCAGAGTTGTGAGAAAATTTGAAGATTGAAATCTCTTCACATGGCAAAATATTAAAGGAAAAGCTGTTCCCGGGGTAACCAGTCCCAATGTCATGAAAAACGGGTGTGTAGATTGGGCCTAAGCCTGACTGCACAATACAAGAACTCACTAGTCTAATGCCAAGGTAAATACACCTAGTAGAATACCTAGAATTATCTTCAATCATTATGGAACCTTGTATAGATTATTACCTAACAGCCAAACAAATACTTACATGGTGTTTTAAACTGTAAAAAAGTTACATTTTTAAAGCAGTTTTATCTGCATAAAAAATGTGACCTTTTACAGAACACATTTAAAAAAGTGTTCTATTGGAACATTATCCTCCTGAGGCAGGGGTGCTTGCCTACACTTACAGCAAGGCTAAACTAACGCATTTGCCACCGGATAACTCTGCCATGGGAGAATGGAACATATTAGCACTGTATGATAATGATATATGTTTTTCCAACACAATTCAGACTTACAATGTATGTCTGCCACTTGTTTGTCAGACTAAAGTCAAGGAGAGGGCCTTAGACACTGGAGTAAGCTACAGTAACAGCTTCCCTAACTCCAACTCAAATTGACTAACTTCTCCAAACAAAAATGCCTAACTAGTGGTGGTTCCATATTTATCAGGTGACTCAGTTCCAGACTTATCACATGACAGAACTGTGGCCTGGATATGTACCCTGATGTGTACCATGGCTAAAGGTGGTATGTGGCCTGTACACTGGGCCTATACACTGGCTACATTGTTTCAGCAAGGTTTCAATGTGCTGTACCGGAGGTTATTTCTCTCATACAATGTACAGTAAACCCCGAAGCGCTTGCTAGGTAGACTTACAGGCCATTGTCTACATGTATGTCAGTAGGCTTGGCTGTTTTATTAGTGAATAGCTACAATGTACATTGAGGACATGTGCATGTGGTCCAAATGTAGAGAGAACCAAATGTTGCATTTCCTTGTTGGACAGTCATACCATATATGACCTTGTATGTCCTGGTGATCATATATATTTTTGCTTTGCCTCAACAAGAACAGTCTTTTCCCTAAGTTCCCAGCTAAGTTCCCATGTCCTGTTAGGAATCAAATCCACAACATGCCAACATCTAGGCTAGCCCAGCAGGGGAAGGGGTGATCAAAAGGTCACCCAGGTCAAAAATGTATATAGAGGCACATGGGGAGCTCATCAGTCTGCCTTGTTATCCTAAGTAAATACAGGACCTGGTGGTCCCAAAACAGCTTGTGAGACATCTAGCTACTGGTGTTCCACACTCAGTGGGTGCTAATGACCCAAATCAGAAGGAGGCTTGCTCCCATTGTGTAAGGACACATTTAGCTATAAACAGGGATATGTGAGGGCTCCCAAGTATCAGACAGCTAATCTAGTATGTAATTGAGACCAAAATACATTGTCTGCCTAGTACTAAGTAGTAGTAGGTACTTTTTTGGAGTGATTGCTCAATACTCAGTCTTTCACCAACATACATTTGTTAAATACAAGTATAGTCAAAGTATTACACTGTGCTCTGCTTCCTTCATGAAAAAATGGTACAAATACTGACAGACCTTATGCCACAACTCCCTACATGCTGTCAATCAACTTTTTACAAATCTCCCAATCTGGTGCATGTTTTCTGATTATGCAACTTGCAACCATCTTCTTGTGGACATAGTAACATGCAAACCAAAACTCAGACAACAAAAACCACAAGGAGTATGACACTTTCATTTCTTCCACCTTAATTCTAAGCAACTAGCTGATGTTTGTAACTGTACCATATTTCCTGCCCAATTTGTAGACATTAGTTTGATATACACGTATTCCAAAATAGATCAAGTTGAAGTCGAAGGTTGTAAAGTTCACATGCCCTCATAATCAACATACAAAACAATACCTCCATTTTCATGGAGTTCATAATTGGACATGTAACTTTCTAAAACGTTAGGAACAAAACAGCTTCAAATTAGCGTAGTTGAAAACCATGGTTCCAGTCCAAGAGGACACATGGGGTTAATCCAAAGGTGAAGCATGACTGCTGGATAATTACCGTGACAGAAAATGGCACCAATGCGGCTTTACTCCTTCTAATTGGTTCAAGGCATTGCTGGTTGACAGTTTGGGGACAGAATCTTGGACAGCTATAATTTACCATGAAATTGCCGTGGCAGTCAGCATCAATGCAGCATCAACTAGGCATTAAAGCTTTGAGCATTCATGCAGCACAGAAACACACTTTGGCTTGGGTATGCACTATTTTGAGCTCTGGAGAAGCAACTATGATTATGAACAGCACACATGACTTACTGTGGAGTAGGACCCTTCTCCCAGTATCCTGCCGAACTTGAAGTCAGCAGGAGTCTTCTTCCTGGGCTGTGGGGGTGTGGGAGTGGCGGGACTAGCACCGGCAGCAGCAGGCGTGGGGACGGCCATGTTCCCTGGGCTCTGGGCCGCAGTGGCTCCCTGCAGTTCCTCTGGCTGGGCGCTAGGGGGCACCGACTGGTGGGAGGACGTGCTGCTACTGACAGGGTCCGGATTCGAAGGTATGTCCTGGAGAGGCAAAACAGATATTGTTTATTGGCACATATGTACAACAACATGACATAATCAAATAATAAAAAAAATGGGCAAATATGCCAGGGAGGCCTGAAACCTTAGTACTTTCTTGCAGGCCTTCCCCAAACGAAATAGTTAAATACTATCATATAAATGAATAGATAAATACTTTCATAAAGAATTCTGCACTTTTCTGAGGTTTAATGCCTCAAAACTATGATTAATCCATACAGAAGTTAAGAAAAATTGTGACATAGATGCATTTTTCTAGGCCATCTCCATTTCAATCTGCCTGAGCATGCTCAAGGGAGACATGAACCACAGAGGGCTGCACCTTTTTACAACAGAAAAGAAACTCCAAAGAGC